TCAGGGAGCTGAATCAGAAGTGGAGCTGGGTCTCAAACACGTGCCCATTTGGGATGCCAGGGCCAGAGACAGCAGCATTACCCACTATGCCACAGGCTGGTCCCAGATTTCTTAAAAAAAAAAAAAATCACCAGATACAATCAACCAAGTTGCAATACAAATTTCTTCCTCCTCTGGCAAGAAATTTGATTTAAAGGGTTGTTTTTATTTTACTATAATTTTCTTACACAATTCTTTGAAACAGGAATCAGAAATACTTTCTTATTTTCATTTCTTTCTTGTATTGAAATGGAATTGCTGTCTCTCACTGATTACCCTTGAATACAGAATTTATGAAAACCAAACATGGAATAAAGTATGGCTTAAGTACGTATTATTTACAAAGAAGACTCGGCAGACAACTCATGAGGATTTAGGACACACATAAATACATTTCAATAATCAGATTATTTCAAGGAATTTACCACATCTGGTACATACACAAGTTGATTCACATAAGTAGGAAGGAAAGCAGAAAGATACAAGCGAAGGAATAGAATTTAGAAGCAGAAAACAGAGTCATGTTTAGCTTAGATCTCTTATCACCTGAATGGTTTTGCAGAAGGAAGTTACATTCAGAATCAATTTGTGATGCAACGGGATCATCAATGAGCATCAGCCTCGCAGGCCCCACTGCTCCTCTATGCTGCTCTGCCTCAAGCATGTTTTTAAATATTTCCATACATGTAGGCATTCATGAATGACCCACTTTACGTATTTTTAAGATTTACTCAACTCTGCTTGAAAAACACATAAGAGAGAGAGAATATCTCCCAACACCTGTTTGTAACAACCAGGGCTGGGCTAGGCTCACGTCAGAAGCCTGGAACTCAACGTGGCTGCTATCTCCAGGGGGCTGCTGTCCACCTGAGCAATGAGCCTGAGGGACACAGGGAGAGGACGTGCGGGATGCAGGCCACACGAGGCAGGTAGAGCCCGCAGCCCCTAACACATGCTTTATTACTTGGTGGGGACTAGTATGGATGTCTCCAGCACGAGCCTGTTTATGTTAAAGCAGTATACAGGAAATGTACTTAATCGAATATAAGGTCACCTCAAAAAAGTTAGAGAAATGCAGATAAAAGGTAAGATTATTTTGGTAGAAAATCAAGTGAAATCTACGCATATGAGTAGTCTTCAAAAAGAGATGGAAACACAGACAATGAAAAGGCTTTGTAAGATAAATTTTTTTACAACCAAGTAACTTATCTACTGAAGTGTGTTTTTTTAACAGGCAGGGTGGGGATGGCATGATGGCTCAATGGCTACATCCTCACCTTGAATGCCCCAGAATCCCATAAGAGTGTTGGTTCCTATCCCAGCTGCCCCACTTCCCATCCAGCTCCCTGCTTGTGGTCTGGGAAAGCAGCCAAAGACGACCCAAGTCCTCGGGACCCTGCACCCACGTGGAAGACCCAGAAGAAGCTCCTGGCTCCTAGCTTCAGATCAGCTCAGCTCCAGCTATTGCAGCCACTTGGGGAGTGAAGCAGTGGGTGGAAAAGATTTCTCTCTTTCATTCTCTCTGTAAATTTGAGCATCCTGTCTTTCAAAAATTAAAACAAATAAATCTGTACAGAGTGCAGTACTGCTCACAGACCGCTGTTCCGAACAAAGCCGCACAGCTCTACACCCTGTCCAACCCGTTTCAACTGAACCCTTCCTTCCATTCCTACGCACTGTCCGTGACGCTCAAATCTGCATCTACCAACTACAACCTAATCATTAAGTATGCTAACCTCTTCATCCCAGGGCCATAAAACCAAATTACAGCTACAGAACAGAATTCAAACATTTTGGGGTCCGTTATTTCATCTGATTTTCATGAAAATACATTTAGGCATTTAGGGAAAGTATCTGTATTTTATAAGTTCAAAAATGGAAGCTTATACAAGTTAAAGAATTATCCAAAGTCATGACGATAATAAGCAGTTCAGTCAAGGGTGAAAACTAGGTTTTGGCTCTGAATTTAATGCATTTCCCAAATGTCACCTGCCTTCTTTAGGGAGATCTTGGCATTTTAAGTTAGACTTCAAAAGCTACATTCCCACAGAAACTTCTGACTTGCGGGTAGGTGTCAGACAGCCAAAGGCACCGTGCTTCATCAAAGGGTATCACAGCACGTGGGAACTGTCTTGAGAATTCTATAGCCCAGTAAGATGACAGGCAAGTATTTCCACAGAAAAACTGCCTAAAATATTAAGTGCACAAATCAATAAACTCTCTAAGCAACTGGTTTGACAAGGGGAAAAAAAAATCCAAGAGATGAGCAGGTAAAGACTGTCCAGAGGCTTCCAAAGCACATGTGGTATATCGGAATAACTTGTACTGACTTTAACGTCTTGTGACCCACACAGTCACAATACTTCTACCACCAGGTGTAAACAATTCAATTGCATTTTACATTTATTCTTACTTTTATGAATGATGGGATTTTTTTCACATTTACTCTTATTTTTTAAAGATTTATTTGTTTTTCTTGTAAGGGCAGATCAGATTTACAAAGAGAAGGAGAGACAAAGAGAAAGGCCTTCCACCTGCTGGTTCACTCCCCAAGTGGCAGCAACGGCCAGAGCTCAGTCAATTCAAAGCCAGAACCAGAAATTTTTTCGAGATCTTTCACGTGAGTTCAGGGTCCCAGGGCTTTTGGTCCATCCTTTACTGCTTTCCCATGCCATAAGCAGAGAGTTGGATGAGAAGTGGAGCAGCCAGGAGAAGTACTGGTACTCATAGGGAATGCTGGCACATGCAAAGCGAGGATTTAACCAGCACTGGGCCCTGGTTTTTAATTTGAAAGGCAGTTACACAGAGAGAAGAGGAGAGGGAGAGAGGGAAGGTGAGAAAAAGAGGTTGGGGAAGGGGGGGAGAAAAAGAGAGAGAGAGAGAGAGAGAGAGGGGGTGGGGCATGCTCAGACCACGCTCCTATGCTCCTAACTGCCAGCTCCTCTGCAAAGCAGGAGATGGGAATGTGATCCTGGACTCCTACATGGCTCCTAGGAATGCCACAGCTTGACCCACCACTTCACTGCACTGGCTGACGCTGGAATTGGGATCCAGAGTGGGAATTCAAGCCCTGGCACCTTGACGTAGGATGTAGGCATCTTCATTGCTCTTCCCTAATTCCCCCATAAACTGAATTATCTAAGGGACCAGCATCCAGATCACAATTGTATCGGCAGGACCCGAGCTCCTTGCACGTTCTCTTACAAGTGCTGATATTAAGGCCAGTCAGTCACAAGCGGCTGCAATGGCTGGAGCTGAGCCAATCTGAAGCCAGGAGCCCAGAGCCTCTTCCGGGTCTCCCATGCAGGTACAGGAACCCAAGCTTTAGGCCGTCCTTGACTACTTTCCCAGGCCAGAAGCAGGGAGCTGAGTGGGAAACGGGCCCACCAGGATTAGAACCAGCGACCATATGGGATCCTGGCATGTGCAAGGTGAGGACTTTAACCACTATGCTATCGTGTCGGGCCCCCACTTGAACTTTCTAAGTGAGCTGGGTAAGACGGAATACACATTTAAATAGCTTTTTTTCAATATTTCACTGTATAGTCTTAGTATCATACTTGCCTTTTTTTTTTTTTTGGTTAAAATATGTGAATGCAGGGCCCGGCGCAGTGGCGCAAGTGGTTAAGGTCCTCGCCTAGCACGCCCGGGATCCCATATGGGCGCCGGTTCTAATCCCGGCAGCCCGGCTTCCCTTCCAGCTCCCTGCCTGTGGCCTGGGAAAGCAGTCGAGGACGACCCAAAGCTTTGGGACCCTGCACCCGCGTGGGAGACCCGGAAGAGGCTCCTGGCTTCGGATCGGCATAGCATCGACCGTTGCGCTCACTTGGGGAGTGAAACATCGGATGGAAGATCTTCCTCTCTGTCTCTCCTCTCTGTATATCTGCCTTTCCAATGAAAAAATAATAAAAATAAATCTTTAAAAAAAAAAAAATATGTGAATGCAAGAACTAGCTCCACTCCTTTCCTATTTTCAGCAAATGCCAGCCCCATTTCCCTTGGCAGCTTAAGTCATCAACTGTGCATCACACTGTACCCTGCCAGCAACGGCAACCACTTGCTACACCAGAACTATTCAAGTACATGAGACAGCCAAAGTTGCCCTATGATTCTATCTCCTCAAATATCAGAATTCTGCCTACAAATTAACAGACGGCCAAGCCTGGCAGCAGATTAGAGATTTCAAGTTGCAGACTGAGGGAAAGGTCCCTGGCTGTCACACGCCAGCACACACAGAAGCTGCTGCAGGTTCACGCACTACGGGGAGACCGTCTGGCATCGTTTTGTGACAGACAAGCCTCCTGCGCACTGTAAATCACACCAACAGCTTCCTCACGTCAATCTATGGAAGGCAAGGAAGGTAACACAGAAAGACAGCGTAACAAGCTCTTAGTAGCCCATGGTGAAACAGTAGTGCAGCTGGTTCCGGAAGGCTCTGGGAGGGAAAGCCTGCCGGCACAGGCTGCGATGCCTCACGGCAGACCGCAGCCTCCGTCCGTGCCGCCGCCCTGGGTGAGCTAACAGCACAGCAGACACCTCCTGGTGCTTCTGGGACACCGCGCTGCCGCCAGGCATGGCTGCTTCCCCAGTGAGCACAAGCACACTCCAAGATGCTCACACAATGAAGAATTCATCTAACAGCACATTCCTCTGAGGATCCCATGCGAAGGAACGCACAGATGTACACAAACTACCTCAATGTGGCAGAGAACCACGACACATTAGACTCCCAATAGTATCAGACAAAAGTGGACATGTGGCAACTGGTACGGATAACAGGGAGACGCAAATTGAAGAGATAATGCTTCGAGCAAATTAAAAAAACAATTCACAAAATTAAAACTACACTTATTAGAGAAAGAACTGTCCAAGAATCTACTTCAATTATTTACATTTTAGTGAGAAAAAATGCAAGTACATCATATGGAAACTGAATTGGTGTTATTTTTAAAATAACTTACGTTGATGACTGAGGAAGATGTTGACAAATTTAAACCTTCAAGATCAGCTCTCAGGCTCGGAGAAAGAACTGGTGTGGGAAGTACAACCGGAGTGGATACCGAGTTAACTATAAAAAAAAGACCCAGATTACCAAATGTGCATGGAAATTTAATTCACATTATTAAAAGCAACATTTTTATTTTGTTAGTAAATCTAATTAAATTACCCTGATTAATACATGTATGACAATTCTATTTAACATCTTGATTTAGTCAAGCTATTATCAAGTCATGAAGGTTATTAGTCGTAGCTTTCTGAATATAATGGCAAATCCTATAACAAAATAAGGACACAGATATTTTGAGCAGTAGCTGCTGGAAATCTTTACCACACAGCACTGCTCCTCCATTTACCGCCCAGCGACACCACTGAACCTAACAGGGTCACACAGTGCTGCTCCTCCATTCATCGCTCAGTGACACCACTGAACCTAACAGGGTCACACAGCACTGCTCCTCCATTCACCGCCCAGCGACACCACTGAACCTAACAGGGTCACACAGCACTGCTCCTCCATTCACCGCCCAGCGACACCACTGAACCTAACAGGGTCACACAGCACTGCTCCTCCATTCACCGCCCAGCGACACCACTGAACCTAACAGGGTCACACAGCACTGCTCCTCCATTCACCGCCCAGCGACACCACTGAACCTAACAGGGTCACACAGCACTGCTCCTCCATTCACCGCCCAGCGACACCACTGAACCTAACAGGGTCACACAGCACTGCTCCTCCATTCATCGCTCAGTGACACCACTGAACCTAACAGGGTCACACAGCACTGCTTCTCCATTCACCGCCCAGCGACACCACTGAACCTAACAGGGTCACACAGCACTGCTTCTCCATTCACCGCCCAGCGACACCACTGAACCTAACAGGGTCACACAGCACTGCTTCTCCATTCACCGCCCAGCGACACCACTGAACCTAACAGGGTCACACAGTGCTGCTCCTCCATTCATCGCTCAGTGACACCACTGAACCTAACAGGGTCACACAGCACTGCTTCTCCATTCACCGCCCAGCGACACCACTGAACCTAACAGGGTCACACAGTGCTGCTCCTCCATTCATCGCTCAGTGACACCACTGAACCTAACAGGGTCACACAGCACTGCTTCTCCATTCACCGCCCAGCGACACCACTGAACCTAACAGGGTCACACAGCACTGCTTCTCCATTCACCGCCCAGCGACACCATTGAACCTAACAGGGTCACACAGCACTGCTCCTCCATTCACCGCCCAGCGACACCACTCAAGTAGCTCAGAGTTGTCAGCCTGGACAAATGCTTAGAATGTTCTGGATGCCGAGGCACTTCTGCTTTTAGATTTTCAGATCAGGAGGGGTTAAATGGCTGAGATTATGCAAAGACTCAAAAATACGAGAAAAATTCTAAAATTTGAAACATTTATGGTCTTAAGAATTTTGGATAAGTCATACTCAAAATGAACTATCACTGTACAAATTGCTAAATACCTTCTGGAAGATATTTTCAGATAAAAAATTCTTCAGGGCCTTCATACAAGAAATGTATCTTAAGGAAAAAGTTATGGAGGTAGTACATACTGCTTCATTAATTACTACACTTAAAGAAATTACAAGTTCAACAACAGTAAATCTGTTACACAGAATTTATTACAATAATGTAAAGGGTAAAAAAGGAGGTAATTAAAAATCACAACTGTTGTGACTGTGGCATTAAAACAATGTTTAGACACACGGAGACACCCCTCAGGATGCTCAGCAGGAGGGGACTGCGCAGAGCAGAACCTCAACTGCTGCATCAGAGCGTTACTCACGGCTCCGGATTACAGGCTCTTCTTACACCCTTCGTTTGAAAACTTCTTTACAAAGCACTTTTTTTTTTTGCCAAGGTATATCTGATGCAATAATCATCCAAGTATTTTAGGAATATGTAGAACTCCATACATAAACAAACAAACTGACACCTGTTCAATGCAACACGGACACCATTGTCACGGAGCCCATATAAAATGCTTATCATCTGCCAGGCAAGGCTTTTTTTTTTTTTTTTAAGATTTATTTTTACTTGTATTGGAAAAGCATATTTTACAGAGAGAAGAGACAGAAATTGCATCCACTGATTCACTGCCAAAGTTGCCTCAATGGCCAGAGCTGAGCCAATCCAAAGCCAAGAGCCATGAGCTTCTTCCCGGTTCCCGTGCAGTTGCAGGGTCCCCAGGCTTTGTACCACCCACAGCAGCTGTCCCAGGCCACAAGTAAGCAGGGAGCTGCATGGGAAGTGGAGCCGCTGGGACATAAACTGAACCACAGTGCTCATAAGCTATAGCGCAGGCCCCCAGGAGGAGCTTGAATCGTTTCCCATGTTTCACAGCATTCAATATTTCTATGACTAAATCCAAATTAGGATTACAATAAAGCATAGAGAGGTTAAGTAAATTGCCCCAGGTTACACAGCTACAAAGAGATGGGACTGGAATCCAAACTCAGTTCCCCTCAGGGTCCCCATTGCCACTCTTCTGCCTGGGGCCCAAGGCACCCCAGTAGTCTTACACAGCTGGAACAGCCACAGGACTTGGGGAATACTAAGGGAGTCCACCGGGGGCCCGTGCCACACTAAGGGAGTCCACCGGGGGCCCGTGCCACACTAAGGGAGTCCACCGAGGGCCCGTGCCACACTAAGGGAGTCCACCGAGGGCCCGTGCCACACTAAGGGAGTCCACCGAGGGCCCGTGCCACAATGCCTCCTTGGAGAGAAACACAACGAGGACTTGTGCCGCCAGCAGGCTCCTGCCCATCTTCACTCTGCCCTATGTTCTCCTCTCGCCTCCAACGGCTCCGTGCAGCCTCTGCTAGGTAGATTAGCCACCATGACACCTAGCAGAATTCTGTGCATAAATTCTTTCTCATTTCATCTATATGTGGGAATCTCACTGCCCACTTATCTGTTTTCCCATTACCCTTTGAAGGTTCCTCAGCTAGGAACACTATTCATTTACGATCTCCATCATGTAGCAGATCACCTAGGTCACAGGAAGTACGCAGAAAATATTTCCTGGATGGAAAAATGAGTAACTTAAAATTCTTGCAGCTCTCCTAGGATACGGTGTTATTCAGCCAGTAACCTCTGTGGACTAAGATATTTTCCTCAGACACAACAGAAGGAATACATCTGCCCTCCTTTCAAGACAAACACAATTGGACAACAGAAAACTCAAGCCAATGGAAAGCGGTTTCCAGTGTTTTGTCAGCAAACGCCTTCAACAGACAGTTGAGAACCACTGTGGTAAGCAGCAGTGAACGGGCGTCCCTCAAGCTGTTTTGTCTCTTATTCCCCTCATGGTTCCTATGCTTTTTTTTTTTTTTTAAGATTTATTTATGAAAGGCATATTTTGAGAGAGAGAGAGCAGGAAACACAGCGAGGGAAATCTTCCATTTGCAAGTTCACTCCCCAGATTCCTGCAAAGGCTGAGCTGAACTGATTCAAACCCCAGAGCCAGGAGTTTCTTCCCTTTTTCCCACATGGATGCTGGGATCTAATGACCTGAGCCGTCCTTGATTGCTTGCCCAGGCCATACGCAGGGAGCTGGATGGGAAGTGGAGCAGCCAGGACACAAATGTGCCCATATGGGCTGCTGGCGCTGCAGGCGGAGGGTCAGCCTGCCAAGCACCGTGCTGGCCCCAGTCTTGGCCTTTTTTAATAGACTCTCTCTCTCATCTCTTATCTAAAAGAATACATATGGATATCCTCCTGAGGCATCTGCATCCATGACTAGACATCAGTCTGTGGGGCGGAAGGACACAGTCCTCTCTAGTACACTGCCCGGTGCTGTAACCTGCACTCGTCATACAATGCACATACTTACACACAGCTGCTGAACTGTCCTGCTTAACAAGAGCCTCAAGTATTACTCTGACAAACTCAGGACTGGAAAATACTTATTTAGAAAAAACACTTGCACATTGAAAACAAAGAGAAATACATACCAACATATGCCATGGATATTTGAAAAATGTTAGGTGAGGTGGTATTTACCTCTAAAATTAAAAATAATCTTACATTTGAGTTTATAATATACTTAACATTTTATTTGACAAAGAAGAAAAGAGAGAAGGGAAGAAAATAGAAGGTGTGAGCAGAGACGAGGCAAAAGAAGGGAGCAGGGAAAGGGATCCTTCCACCCACCACGGACTGCGCATAAATGCCACAGTGGTCAGAGCTGGGCAAAGTGACACCCACCACGGACTGCGCATAAATGCCACAGTGGTCAGAGCTGGGCAAAGTGACACCACGGACTGCGCATAAATGCCACAGTGGTCAGAGCTGGGCAAAGCGACACCACGGACTGCGCATAAATGCCACAGTGGTCAGAGCTGGGCAAAGCGACACCACGGACTGCGCATAAATGCCACAGGGGTCAGTGCTGGGCAAAGCGACACCACGGACTGCGCATAAATGCCACAGTGGTCAGTGCTGGGCAAAGCGACACCACGGACTGGGACAGACGTCTTGTACCTACATGCTGGCCTCAGGAGGATTTGTCCCTGTGCTTCTGTCACAAGTGCGCATGTGCAAGGCAGTGAGGTCATCTGCCCTCTACCTCCCCAACACCTTAGTCCCGTAAGTGACGTGTCAACCACGACACTCCGACACGAGGAATTATTTACTGATATGTCACTGAAGATTTTAAAACAAATGCAGTACACTCCTGACTATGATTATCCATGTCATATAAAATGTATATACTGGGGCCCGGCGGCGTGGCCTAGAGGCTAAAGTCCTCGCCTTGAACGCCCCGGGATCCTATATGGGCGCTGGTTCTAATCCTGGCAGCAGTCCCACTTCCCATCCAGCTCCCTGCTTGTGGCCTGGGAAAGCAGTCGAGGATGGCCCAAAGCCTTGGGATCCTGCACCCGTGTGGGAGACCCAGAAGAGGTTCCTGGCTCCTGGCTTTGTACTGGATAGCACCAGCTGTTGCGCTCACTTGGGGAGTAAATCATTGTACGGAAGATCTTCCTCTCTGTCTCTCTTCCTCTCTGTATATCTGACTTTCCAATAAATAAGTAATTCTTTAAAATAAAATCTATATACTGAATAGACAGAAGATACTGATATCACCAGTTTCTAGAGTTTTCTTGCTTTATTCTTTCATAAATCTTTTTGAACAAGGTTGGTATTTTGTGGGAGATGTAACACAGGCATTCTACCTCTTTCTGCTGGGCTGGCCTTGTGGTAACGCACTTCAAGCTGCGGTTTATGACAGCAGCACCAGCGTGGTCCCGACTGCTCTGCTTCCCGTCCAGCGCCCTGCCAATGCCCCTGGGAGGCCGCCGAGGGTGACTCCAGGCCCAGACATGTCTGTCCCGTGTATTCAGGGAGTGAACCAGCAATGGGAGATCTGCCACTCCCTCTACTTGCTGCTCTGCTTTTCAAATGAATGAGTAAATAAAGCAAGAGGAAGAGTGCTAAAGTACAATACTTACAGTCATCTAGATCTAGAAGCGAGACATCTTTGGGAAGAGCACTTCCACCTTGCTTTGGTCTTCCTTCTTGCTCCTGTAAAGCAACAAATAGTTCGCTTACTGGATGTTGTGTTTTAAAAGTCCATGAAGCAGTCCTTAATGCTCTCTGCTTATTCTTACAAATGAGCAAATTAGGTTTCTTCAGGATAACATGAAATAATGTTTTTAATCAAAATTTCTGCCTCAATATGTCATACTTCTTCCTTTTCATGGAAAATATTAACTATTTAAAAGCAGTTTGTAGGTAAAGACTAAAAAGATTCTTTGAAAGAAAAAATAATTTTATAATTGTCAACTTTTTGCTAAAATGTAAAATAGCTTCTTAGTACAAAGTGCATAGTGAGATTAATTTTAAAGTGAGTCCGTCAGTGAGCTGCTCTGTAGCTGCCCACGGTCCGGTGTTTGGTACTGGGTCTGTTAGACCTCTTGGCCAAAGGCATCACGCAGACCCATAGGTGACACTCCCAGGTTCCTGCTATGTAGTGAGGAAGGCTCTCTTTCGATATGGCTTTGTGGTATTGTGCAGCATCAAACCTGCACTTAGGAGGCCCACCACAATCTACTGTACACACCAAAATGTGTACAGCCACCACCCAGAGTTAGAAGGCACTGCAAAAACTCAGAGAACGTGCATTATCTTTTCATTTCATCCTACTATGAACCTCCTTAAAACAAGCTTGTCCAATGCCCCCAACTATGAGGCATCCACAGTGCAGAGACTCAGAAAAGATATGTGAATTACAGGCAAAACAGAAAGTATTAATTACAGGTAGTGCTGAGTGGCACTAGAAAAACTGTATTAAGAATATGTATTTGGGTCAAAGCTATTTATTTTTACAATCTATACTTTTCGTTTGCATATTAAGTTCTAAAACCTAAAACTTAATTTTTTACAAACCATTTCTGTGCAAACAATAATCCATTCACTCAACAAAAAGGTATTGAATTTTAAGTATGTTTCAGATTCAGTGATAAGCAATATAAACAGATCTAGTCTCTGCTTTCAACTAGCTAGAATCCTCTGGAGGAGTTACACTACACACGAGGGCAGCACAGGCCTCGCTCGTGAGGGCTGACAGTGCTGCAGCTCTCGAAGCGGCGCACACAGCAGAGACACGACAGCATCCGCACGCCACACGAAACAGGGGATCATTTAGACGTTCTGCTTGTGTTTCCCTTATGCAACATTCACGAAATTATTTCCATGGATCAAACATACAGTAAGTACTAATCAAAGCTCATGCACTGGCTTTCTTCCTCAGAATAATTATTTCTGCCACTGGAAACTCCCAAATCACAGATAGGTTTTAATTTTCATTCCTTGTTTAACAACAAAACAATCAGCACATGCTCTTTTCCCCACTCCTCAGATGAGTAACAACATGGAGGCCTGGGGCAGACGAGGGTGTAAAGGCACAGGCATGGAGGGGTGTCAGTTCTGAAGCTGAGATGAGAAAGCTGCAAGCAAACGAAATCAGACATCTCAACTAAAACATCGCTCCTGTGAAGAAAGAACATGGAAGCAAACGAGCAATCGCCATGCAACCTTAAGCAAATGCCGTGCGGAGCACGACGGTGCAGCTTCCTCTAAGCTTTATGGAACTGTAACCGCCCTGCCTGAAAAAGCTGGAGCTAAAGCTAACGCAAGGCCACACCGTAATTTCTACTTCACAGACGAGTGTGCAACGACATCTGCTAAACACACATCTGCTCACACACCACACAGAACAGAGCTGTATGTGAAACTGCATCATCTCTTGTTAGAACCTAGACCAGAAAGAAGAGGGATCAGAGAAGGACAGGATTTCACGGACTCCTGAGTGACTGAAACACAACATTAGCACTAGATAATGGTCATTTCTAGAGAACTGAAAAGCCCGGCATTCTGAATCAGGCTGGTAAAACACGTCATGATACATTTGGCAATCCTCTTTTATTTTATTTCATTTTTCATTTTAAAAAATCCATACTAAGTTCATAATATTTTCATATTAAAGGACTCACTCTAAAAATAAAAATCTGAATTCTAAACAAAGAAGTTAAAAGCCCTATTCCATCAAACACTTCTCCATTTGCAATTCATCTTGGTAATAGAGACAGAACCTGGGTAAATGCATATAGAACTTGAGGCAGGAGATTTTTCTTGCTCAATGCATAATTCATGTGCTCCGCCTGCAAAGTGTGTAAAATGAGAATTTCACACCATGGCATGAGCCATGGAGCTGCAGAGAAAAGGCAGATGAAATCATATTTTACTGTGTGAATTTTATTTCTTACCCTCCCAATATTTATACAAAACCATCATTGACAAACCAAACACACTGACAGCTCACCCACTGTTTCCATTGTTAGTACTTGAGAAGAGATCAGGCAGAAAGATAGACAATTTGTTTTTATATATTTTTTTAAATAGGGGATTAGGTTTTTAACAGTCGACTGACTGTGTTAGAGTTTTATAAGAACAACAGTGACTGATCTTAAAATCTCACTTCCAAAAAAAAGCCTAGTTAACAATTCAGCAGTCAACTCTCCATTTTGTTTCTATGGTTTTGATTGTACACGACTCAGCAACATCCTCAAAATCACAGAGTCACAGGGTTAAGAAGCAGGTTACTATTTAACATATCATTTCAAGCAATAAAGAAAGGATCCTGAAAATACTCATTAAGCTCCAGATAATACAACTAAGAGCGTGTAACAAAAAAGCTGTAAGGGTCTTCTTTTATGGATTATGCATGTTCACGTCCATGTTTGCTTTAAAAAAAGCATAGAAAAAAATCTGACATGACAGGCTTCAAACATGACGCCAAGGAGGAAACCATTATAAAATACCTTGAAATTTAACACAATAAGGCAGAATAAGCAGCAGGCAAAGTCTGTCAAACCCACACTATGCTTTGAAATGAACCACACAATTTAAAGCTAATTTCTAGTCTCACAGGGCAAGATATTTACGCAAAATATTTTGAATGAGAATTATCAATCCAGGATAATTTAATGTCTTTCATTCAAATTGTGTGGTAAATTTGACTAAAAGATCTGGAACTCATACCAATTTAAAATAAAAGGACACTGCTAGTGAACTGAGATCTCTTTGTGACATACAGACACTGAAACTGCTAAAACAGTTTTTTTCCCTAATAAACTTATGTATTTCACTAAGAGGGCTTGCTTAATTTCATTCACCTTGTTGTAAAAGTCTCAAATGAAATCAGTGATGCATCTATTTTGGAAACTTTTAAATTTATACAACATTAGAAAAGAGACAGATTGAAAGAGGTAACAGCTAATGAGTAAAATCAATTGTCCTGCAATAGTCACAGAGGTTTGGTAACTGCAACCCACACAAACACATGCAAAAACACTTAAAACTTTGTTTCTGTTTTTGACAGCAACAGCACACTAAGCAGAAAGTAATTCTTCCGCCTGTAAGCATTCCGCACCACAGGTCAGAACCACTTCATCGCCAAGAATCTGTCATGGAAGGGATTTTTCTCCCCTCAGATCTGTTACTAAAGCCAGTGTACCATCTACTAACACTGGGCCACGGGTCCCCAGACAGTGCCCAATCTCCAAGCTTCGCATACCCCAACCAGAACAGCAGAGGAGGAGCCGCCGCTGACCTGAGCTAGAGCCGAGCGGCAGGACACCTCATACCCTGCTCCAAGCACACACACAGAGCCGACAAAGTCTTTCACATTTACTACATACATCAGTGTCTATTCTGCTGCAAACATAGACATGCTGTTGATACTAAGTGCAAACAAGGACACCCTTCATATTTAATACTCACGCAAGGAAAATTAAAATTACAACCATCACTTAAAATTGTAGTAGTTTATCTGCATTTTAATCTTGGTTTATCTCAACCTTCGGCTTTTGATGCACATATACTGAAGAAAAATTACTACGATCACAGTAAGAGTCTGCCAACACATCACATAGTTACAAGAACACTACGTTAGGATCAATGAAGAAAACCACCTTGGAAACTTCGTTATCACCACATGTTCAATAAAAACTAGGATGAAGCAATATGAACACGAAATCTCTTCCTGACACAATGTGGTCTATATTGCCAAGTTTTCTCTCCACTCTGTTGCATAACTTTCCCCCTTTACATTGGGTAAAGTGTGTGAAAGCATTTAAAATGTGAGATACACTGAATTATTAAGAGGGATTGTGTTTGGCGGGTGTTGTAGCGCAGTGGGTGAAGTCACTGCATCCTCCATGGAGCCCAGCTCACTGCTGTTGCACCCGGAAAGCAGCAGAGGACGCTGCTCGGCCCTTCTAGCTCCCAGCTCTCGGCTTCAGGTTGGCCCAGCTCTGCTCATTAAGGCCATCTGGGGACCGAACCAACAGATGGAAGGTTTCTCTTTCTCTTTCTCTCTGTCTCTCTATCCCTCTCTCTTTGTATGTCTGATTTTCAAATAAATAAATAAATATTTTTGTTGCTATTGCTTTTTGAAGATTTCTTTTTATCTTTTTATTGTAAAGGAAGATATACAGAAAAAAGGAGAGACAGAAAGAATGATCTTCCATCCGCTGACTCACTCCCCAGGTTGCCACAAAGGTGAGATGGGCCAATCTGAATTAAAGGAGTAAAATCATTGCTTATACAAAGCTAGATTTTTAAAATAACAGTCTGAATTTCTCACACACATAAAGAATCTTGACTGTTATTGTTCCTACGACTTCCTTCCATTCTTCCCTTGGCCAAAAATTCTTTAGCTATAACCTGGCCAAGACCCAGAAAAGGAGTACACACACATTAACCCTGACGAGTTCAAGAGAAGGGTTCTAACTTCTTGTAGATTTATACTACGTGGAAAAGGAACACCTAGATGAAATAAAACCACGGGCAAGAATAAATGAACAACAGTGGTGTTTAGCTGGGAACAAACATAAGTCGTGTTTTTGTAGTTTCTTAATGATCAAAAACACTGAACACTGGGACAAGGCTGTGCGGACATTCCCCAGCAATCGCTGACATACGCCCTCTTCGCGGTCACTCACTCTCACCTTGGTCGCTCTCCTGGACTCAGATCCACTGTCGCACTCGGATTCTGACTCCGAATCTGAAGAACTTCCTTCAGCTGAGCTGGAGTTAGCACTGGAGGAATCTGAAGAATTAGATTTTTCATTTTCTTTCTCCTCATCTTCAGAATCACTATGTATAAGAATAAATTTTGAAATACCACCTTTAAGCCCTTCATATACACAAGTTTTAGCTGACATTAAAGTAATAACAAATGATTTTTAAGTTTCACAAATCATTCATGATATTATAATAAAGTTTGCATTACCACAAATGAATCAGAACCCATTTCCTAAAGTACATGGTGTCACGGATACACTGAACACAAAAAGTCATAAAACAACACAAAACCATCACCAATACCGACAGAAAATAACAAATATTAAATGTTGACTTTTCGGGTATTAAAGGCTAACAATGGGAATATTAAAGATACTTGAGATGACTCTAAAATGCTGCCTCAAAAACTGCTTTCTCATGTATATATATAAATGCTGATATATACATATGAATTATATACGTATCTACTTTGGCTAAAAGGCATTGGTATTTGATAAACTGTTTCCTCCTACGCATTTCCAGATGCTACTTAAACATACTCCAGGAGCAAATGCCAAGCCAAAGGGAATTCTCCAAGGACTACGTTACTAGAAATGTTAAGACACTAGAGCACCACACCATCACTACAAGCAGCACTTCATACATTCACCTAGCCACTGCACAACAGGTGCAGCCTCGGCAGGTGCTCGGGCAACCATGCTCCGTGAGATGCAGGTGCTGTGTGTCTCCTGGAATCCACATGCACCTGAGGACACAGTGTCAGTGCCACAAACAGGCAGCGAGGAATTCAGCCAGGTGTGCCTAAGAGCATGTGCAGGGACACCTGACCTCGCCGACGTTTCCTTAGTGAAAAGCTTAACAGGACTTAGCCCAGCAGATGGGCAGTGAGGCCTTTCCACAAAAAGAAGGAATAACACGTGGGTAAACAAACTTCTTCCAGGAGGTCAGAGCGGTGTTGGGGGTTTTAGGTTGTCCTCACAGGGCACACTGTTACACTGTGACCTGTGGGGAAGCTGACCTTGGCAGGCTAACTTATCTCCCCAGGACTCACAGGAGGAGGTGCACACAGGGATGCAAAGCTCAAGCAGGGTCAGGAAGAGTGATGACTATTAAAGCACAGTGACTTCTGTCTTTTTTTTTAATCTTTAAAGAAATTTAAACCTTATTAAGAGCTTTAAACAGAAGCAGAGGGATCGGTGAGTCAAAGGAAGAGTTGATATTTCCTAGGGCTCATTCTTGTGGGAGCCTTGGTAACAGCACAGGCTGCTGCATCTGCACAACATGGCGGAAGTGTTCATTACCCCCATTTCCTGGCAAAAATGTAGTGAAAAGATTAACGTTTAGAGAACAGCTATAATTCCTATGGTGAACATGGGTAAACAAAGTTCATTTCTGAAGAAAACATAAGGAAAACTAGTATTATATATGATTAAAATCTCCAAACACACTGATTTCTGCAACATGAAAATATAATTTCTGCACTGAATGAGAACTTTCCTTTCTAGAGAAACAAGACACTGCACACAGACTGTTTCGCACAGACACAGTGAAGTTCAAGGAGAGGCACACATCACAAGAGACAGCTACACACACAACAGTCCACTGCAGCACCCACACGTCACAACAGACAACCACAAACCAACAGCTCACTGCCAGGACCCACACGTCACAACAGACAACCACAAACCAACAGCTCACTGCCAGGACCCACACGTCACAACAGACAACCACAAACCAACAGCTCACTGCAGGACCCACACGTCACAACAGACACACCAACAGCCCACTGCCAGGACCCACACATCACAACAGACAACCACACACACCAACAGTCCACTGTCAGGACCCACACGTCACAGCAGACAACCACACACCAACAGCTCACTGCCAGGACCCACACGTCACAGCAGACAACCACAAACCAACAGCCCACTGCCAGGACCCACACGTCACAACAGACAACCACAAACCAACAGCCCACTGCCAGACCCACACATCACAGCAGACAACCACACACCAACAGCTCACTGCAGGACCCACACGTCACAGCAGACAACCACACACCAACAGCAACAGCTCACTGCCAGGACCCTCTAACATGAAGATAAGGTCTTAAAGAGTTACTTTATTATGAATCACTCAACTCAAACAGTGGTTACTGTTTATCTTTCCTCTTAGAGTTTCAGATGCTAATCTAATGAAAAGAATTTACTGGTAACTAGGTTTTTAACTTTGCAATGATGAAAAGCCTGTATTAATTTAACCTACAGATTTCATTTGTTCTGAACAGGAAAAACAATATAAATCACTTTTAAAATCATTAAATCTTGACTTAAATTAATAAAGTCATAATTAGGGCATTATGCTGTGTTTGTTATGGAAGTGGCAGGGTGAGCGGCTCTAATTACTGTCTGTAATAAAAGGAGCAGAGAGCGTCCTGTGCCCCATCAGGGCTGTCAGCCACAGCAGAGCGAGCTGCCGGTTCCTCCAGCAGGCTCCTCGACGTGGGGAGACAGGCCCGCGACCCCGGCATCACCTGCCGTTACTCACAAGGTGAATGACACCTGATGCCTGAGAAAGTAGGTAATGAGACCTGAGCAGCAGCACTGAGCCACCGCCCGGCCATTCCTTCACAGTCCTTGACTCTGAAACTTGGATCATAATCTTTTTAATATGACATTATTTAGAAAAATCAATTGTCTTAGTTACATAATGGCAAAGTGTTGAAGGATTTAATTTTAGCTCTCAGCAAAATTGCTACAAAAGGTAATTAAGTTTTCACACCTACTGCTCCATCACTTAACTCAGCCTTCCAAGGTTAAACCAATTTTCAAAATGTAACCCCAAGATCTGTTCAAGTTCAAAATGGAAATGAAACGTTATGAGGAGTAGAATAAAGTGAATTATTACCACTTTAATTAGAAAAGATTTAATATCTATTTGGAAAAAATACTTTGTTTTCTTACTCACTCTTTGAGTTAAAGGGCAGTATTAGCCAAGGGGAAGACACCATGGACGGGCTTCTGCAGGAACCTGCGCCAAGGACACTCACCTGTCTGCTTTGGTTGAAAAGCCCTTCCTGGCTGTCCTGCTCCCCGCCTGCGGCTGGCCGGCACGCTCGCCCTCCTGCTCGCTGCTGGAGCTCTGTCCGCTGTCCTCACTGCTGTCCCCTGCCTCCTCACTTTCACTCCCGGACTCGCTCTCTGAAAAAATGGGACATTTTCTAGAGTTAAAGCCATTTAGTTAAACACAACTGCAACTGCAATCTGCATCACAAATCCTACTCCGCGGACCCTCCCACTCTGATGGCCTCCTCCTGCAGTGGGGGAACGAGATACTCCAAGTGAGCCTCTGAAAAGATGAACCAAGGAGACCAAGCTACTTCAAAGCCGTGAGCGTCCAGCCATGGCAAAACCCTTCTGCAAGAGCCACATGATGCACGCATACACACATAATTTTGAATTCCGCTAGTAACGGAAAATCTTATCTAGAGAAAAAGATGGACAAGAGGATGATGTTCTTATGATTAGAAAAAAGCCATTCTAATTATCCCCCAAAACAAACTGAAAGACAACAAGCAAAATTACTAATTAAAGACTTTTCATTTAGTTTAGCTAGCACAAGTTTCCACAGGTCTAAGAGATGATAAAGCTAGAAGTGAATGTTTTATGTAAAGAGTCTGGCATAGCCGCAATCTTTGCACAAGGGAGGTACAGTACACTCCTATATATTTCTGACGGAAGTGCAGTCTGACCGACAAAGAGCTGCCCTGCAAAGGACAGAATGCCCCTATGTCAGAGGTCCCCGCAGCAGTGTCCTCAGAGCAGCACACCAAAGAATCGACCAAAGAATTACTCTAGCAAGTATCATCTACCTGAGGAAGATTCACTTCTGTTTTCAGGGAAAAGTGAGCCTGCCTACATTCTGCAGTCACAGAGCACCGGGTGAGCGCACAGGGTCTTGGGGTGGAAGCTCACACCAAAGCCACCCCCATGGTCTCAGTTTCCTCTCAGTGAATTCCCGGAGTTGCGAGGACCGAATGATTTGCACAGGGCACAGGGCTTGCCATGTGGCAAGACACTCACTGTCATTCTACTCTAAGAGCAATCTTACTTTACCTGAACCACACAAAATCATGACAAAACGCTGAAGGATCTGAAATTTGCTGTTATATCAAAGTTGTATACTGTATTCCTTAACTCAGATAACCAAATAACTACATTATTCACTACTGCAAATAATGAAAAAACATCATAGCAACCAAGTTCCTCTTTTATGTTATCGTGTGGGATTTAGCCATCAACAAGGGTCTTGGGCACATCACGTACCACCATGTAAAGGCACAAGTGACTGACATCCTTGAGCAAACAAACCTGTGGATTCTCAAGACTTGCTCAATGCAAAACAAAACCTCACATCTTCTTTGCTTTTTTTTTTTAAAGCTATTCATTTGAAAGAGTTATACAAGGAGAGACAAGCTGAGAGAGACCTCTTCCATCTGCTCTTCTGCTCCTAAACAGATTCAATGGCTGGGGCTGGGAGCTTGGACCCCAAGCTAGGTTTCCCATATGGGTGCAGGGGCTCAAGTAACTGGGCGGTCAAACTTGCTTTCCCAGGCACACTTGCAGGGAACTGATCAGAATTGGAATCAATGACCAAATGGTGCACCAGTTCTGCAGAAAGCAGTAGTCTGCTATGTCACAGGACCGGGCCCCCAACCTCATAACTGCTGATGGGAAGTTTCCCGGCTCGCTCATGCAGTGAACTCCTGCCCCGAGACTCCCACTACATGTGATCAGCTACCACAGGAAAAGCCGTGGCAGACACGGGTTTTTTCAGATGCTGTGGAAACGCGCGACCTGTGAGCAAGCACAGGTTCGGGAATAAACAAGAGGGAGACAAGTGCTGGCACACTTGCTCCTCAGACATACCCTTCTCCCAGGTCTGCATCATTCCCAAAATTCCAGTGTAAAAAGTTTAACTTTCTAGTATGAGGTATTTTCTCCATTTTTTATTTATTACTCCAGAAGTTAATACATTCAGATAATTTGTTAGCTACTGAAAATCGAGATTTTTGAGAGGTGAGGTGAGTTAGGGGAAAATTATTTCAGAATGAGACAATCGATAATTAAGTAATAATAAGAGGACCTGGTTCTCCAGGGAATCAAGATTTTATACAAAGCGGGATGGCAGTGAGTCCTGAGTCAGGTGCGCCTGTCGGGTTAAACTGCCACTAAGTGTCCAATTTTAATGGCAGCAAGTTTTAGTCATGCAAATGTCAGTAATGAAGAGACTCAAAAAAACACTAAACCCTGCTCCTTCCTTCATTTACCAGACAAAAGCAGGTGCTGTAGCTAAAACTCTAGATTTCTAAATCCTTGCTATCTTAGTATTCTTTTCATTGCACGCCCTCAGCATTCGGAACTTGATACTACTTCATAGTACATGGAGAGCCAGAAAATTTTTTATTTATTTCTGCATGGATTCTATAAAAATACATGAGCAAAAAATTAAAGACATTGCACAAGGTTCAAAATAAACTTTGTTTTTGTGAAGTTACTTCTTTGAGCCTCACTAAATATTTGTCAAGTACAAAGCTGTAGTTTCAATGTGCTGACAGCACTCTGTCTCAGCTCCACCAATCGCTGGCTATTTATTTGTCCAAGAAGTGGATTTTGTAAACTAATTAGATACCACTTTAAAACCCAAACAGTAACACGTGAATGGATTCTCTCAATAAGATCAACTTCATTTCGGAGCGCTTACGACGCACATACCTCAGGCCTTACCGCTGTCTGCGCTCTCCACAGCATGCAAGGTCTGGGACTTACCGCTGTCTTCGCTGCTATCCGAAGAATCCTCTTCCTCTTCAGACTCAGAATAAAATTTCTTCGCAGGATTTTCTTTCTTTGTTTTTCCTGCTGGGGTCCATTCTTTTGCCTGTTTACAAACACACACAAAAACATATATAAATGAAGTTTCATTAAGAACTTTAGACTTATGGCAAACTCAATCATTTAAATACCACAATAAGAACAAAGGTGAAAGCTTCAACAGAGAATTTAACTGTTAGAAAGCCTAGCATTAATACTAATTCTTCTTTTTTTTCCTAAAGATTTCTTTATTTACTGAAAGCAGTTACAGAGGCAGAGAGGGAAAGAGACACACACATACACAGTGCTTCCACCCCCTGGTTCACTCCTCCAAGTGGTTGCAACAGCCAGGGTTGGACAGGCTGAAGCCAGGAGCCAGGAACTTCCTTCAGGCCGCCCCACATGGGAAGGGCTCAGGCATGTGAGGCCACCCTGAGTCCCCTTCCCAGATGCCAGGAACTTCACTCAGGCTGTCCCATGTGGGAAGGAGTCTTCTCTTCTACAACATTTGATCAGTTGTAATTATTCTCCATAATAGGTTGCCAATTATTACCTCCAGGAATGTAGCAACAAGAAGAAAAACAACTCTAGCTGCTGAACAGGACAAGCGAAATCAACTTAAGAAAACGGGTTATTTAAGCACTGCCCCTATGAGAGAGAAAACATTTAGAAGAACACACGAAAATAGAAGAAAGTCAACCAATCAATCTAGCAGCCAATCAAGGGATGCAGCTGAGAAGAAATTAAACTGTGTAGCACTGCTACCAGTTCCTTATAAACCTCTCCAGGGGAAGAGCAGAGGGCACTGAGAGGGGAAGGCAGTAGGAAGGCGTACTCTTCACACTCCAGCAGCTGGCCAGCCAGGCAGCTGTGCTGAAGGGCTTTCACTGGGTAGATCAAGGGAAGCAAACGACAAACACAGTTTTCCTAACTTCTGCGTATTTGTAAAGAGTCTGTCACAAAATAAAAGTGGTAAGGACAACTGATCAAGCTCCCCTTCCCATGTTACATAATAAAACAGAGACAGCGAAAGCACGGACTGCGGATCCCAGCAGGGTCGGAATCCCAGTGTGTTCACCTACTAGCCATGCAAACTCACACACGGGACCTTAGTTCTCTAAACTTTGGTTTCCTCATCTGTGAAGTGGGAGTAACAATAACCATCGCTTGGGATTATTCTGGGTTTTGAGCAAGATAAAGTGTGAGCACGCCGGCACGGTACACCGTCGGGGGTTGCTAAATGGGGCTATTATTAGTTACCACTGCTGCTGGCTGCAGTCCGAATATAGGGTGTTTAGGCAGTTTAAGGAAATTATTTCTCAGAGGTTATGTTCATTACAGAAATTATATTTAAAGCAACAGTTACTGCTTTAAAAAGTTATTTTGTTTCAGAAAGTTTTCTCATGAGCAGAAAGACCAGCCTTCATGTGTTAACTGAATCTAATAAAACAGATAATTAGTTTAGAAAAACTTACAAATTCTCATCATATACAATGGAGCTACAGAATACTAGATCTATATTTCACATTTAAAATAAAAATTTTTCTATAACTGGCAATGAACATTTGGAAACTAAAAAAAAACCAAATCACCCTTTTGGACAATCAGTGCTACCATTTATTAGTATTTCCAAGAATTAAGATTCAGAGAAAAAAAAATCACAGAAACCCCATTTTCATAGGGAGAAGCATGACCAAACGGAAATGCAGCTAAAAGGGACAACTTGTATAAGCAAGCCAAAGTTCACAATCAGAAGACAGCGAGAACCAGAGTCAGAATGAATTCCTGTGCTGATTCTGTACGAAACTTGACCTCTAAAGGATTCCAGTAACCGTCAGTCAGACTTTCTTGACAGACTTCCAGTGACAACTAAAATCAGAAAACTCACAGAAGCTGACCAATTCTAACTAATCCTTATGATGCTCTGACACCTTCCAGGGCAAGCCTAGGCACCTTAGGAACAACAAACCCCACATCACCACAGAGACGGTAGCAGCAAACGCGCCTTGACAGACACGGCCTGTGGCAGCAAAGCCAAAGCTGCTTTCCTCAAGCAGGGCAGAATTTTTATTGATGTGATTATACGTTATTGACTGTATTTTAAAAAAAATAAGACAGTAAAAATTTGGAAGGCAGAGTCTCACAAAGAGACAGAGCTCTTCCACACTCAGGTTCATTCCCAACGCCTGCTGTGCTCAGCCTGCAAAGCCAGTGGCTCCGATGCAGACAACAGGACACAAGTAATGGGGACACCTGTGGCCTCCCAGTGGTGCACATGAGCAGGACACTGGATGAGAGACGGGAACTTTAGGGCCTAGCGCAGTGGCTTAGCAGCTAAAGTCTTGCTTTGAATGCTCCGGGATCCTATATGGGCGCCAGTTCTAATCCCAGCAGCCCCACTTCCCATCCAGCTCCCTGCTTGTGGCCCGGGAAAGCAGTTGAGGATGGCCTAAAGCCTTGGGATCCTGCAACCGTGTGGGAGACCTGGAGGAAGTTCCTGGCTTCAGACTGGCACAGTATCGGCCACTGCGGTCACTTGGGGCGTGAATCATCGGACAAAAGACTTTTCTGTCTCTCCTCCTTTCTTTATTTCTGACTTTGTAATAAAAATAAATATATCTTAAAAAAAAAAAAAAAGAAAGAAATCCAGGCACTGTGCTATGCGATGAGGTCATGCCAGGCGGCAGGTTAGTGCACTGTGCCATCACGCCTTCTCCTACTGGCTCACATTTAAATGGAGTAGGCATACTTCAGACAGCACATCTCTAAACAGAATTAGAAGGCACTAGACTTGTTCTCCCTTGTTTATAGAATGACCGCTCTCCACTACTTAGTCACACAAAAACCCAATAACCAAAAATCAACAAACAAAACAAAAACAAAAAGCAAAACCTCCTGATATTAGGAAAGAATGTCCAATTTTTTATCTTAATGGCCAGCAGTTTTTCCAGAGATCTGGGAAAAGAGCACTTCCAAGACAAAGCCTTTCAGTTTTCATTTTCTCTGGGATCTTGCCAAAGGACATCTGGTACACAGAGCCCCCCTCTGTTTAGGCGTCACTTAAAAACAGGCTCAACAGAAAACTGGAAGAGAATAGCAATCATGATTTTAGAAAGCATTGACAGGAAGCTTATAAATCCCTAAACAAAGTAGAAAAAGCTCAACCCAATGAAGTGAAATACCTTAAAAATGGAATCTCTACAGATAAAAACACAACAGTACTAACGTGGGTGGCACTAATGCAGAGAATTCCATTCTGCATTTCTCTGAAGGAAAGGAACAAACCATGTACCATGGGATAGGAATAAGGCAGTGATTCTCTCCTACAAAGGCCAACCATATGTAACACACGCCACATCTAATGTTCCGTTTTCAAGCCCCTCAAAGGCTTATGTACAAAACAACAGTTATCCTGGAATCTTCACAGGACGGACAAAACTAATTTCAGAAAGGTCAACTTACCAACTCTATTATTTCTACATTGCGAACCGATGGATCGGGTGCCACTTCCGGCCAATTGGATAATTCCAGGTACCCTGTAGCTTTAGTGTTGAGAGTATGAGATAAGGTGCCAAGCTGGAAATGATCTCTATCTATTAAAAAATAGAGGAAAATATAAAATAAACAATGAGCTGTATATAACAGAACAATCGTAATCAGAGCTCCAGGTAATTGGAGTATTAACTCAAATGTCAAGGAATAAAAATAAACCAGGAAGCTCTTCATAGGTCAAAAAACTGATTTCAGTCCATAGATTACAATAATCTCTCCCATAATGGTCAATAAAAAAGCTAATCAGTCAGTGTGTTTAGAGGTGTTGCTCTGAAACGTAGCTTCTCTAAAAATTACTTTACTGTGAATATTAAGAATGACAGCACAGTTAAACAATCCATATACATGTCTTGGCACAAACACGTCCAGAATGTTAATAGTTTTTCTTCAGAACTGAACTGTTTTTTATCACTTTACAGCAATTAAGAAGCATTGTGACAACAAACGTATACAAATAAAATGAATGTATATAATCAGCTGGAATGGCTACTTGTTAAACTGATGAAATATTCAATTAGTACTTTTTAAAAATCGAGGGCAAGCAAATCAACCTCTGTGCAAAACAAATTCAAACACAGGCAGGTATTTTTCATAAAATAATTTCTCCTAGAAACACTGCTATTGCATATGAAACATTTAACTGACTTATGTTCCACATACAACTACTGTCTTAGAGGGTGAACAAAGTCAACGTCTACAAGAACAACATTGCTTTCGCCCACTGCCGGGAAAAGGCCCGTGAAAGGGACGGAATGAAACGGCCTGAAACTGTGCAGCGAAAAGGGCCTATAAAGAGAGGAATTTAGATTTTAAAAAGCGTACCTTGGAGAACAAATGAAAGGATAAAAACTAGGATACTCTTATGTCTGCATAGATGTTTGTCATTTACATTTTCTGTGAAACTCGATGTGCCTGCAGTGATCTGCTTATGGCAGCACGCGCTGTGCAGTGAAGGGTCTGATAATAATACCTTTAAAAGGAGATTCAAGCAGTGGGGCAGGTTTTTGAGCTAGGAATATTTTTTTAGCATATTTGCTTAAAGCTCCACTCTTCTCGTTCGGAACAATAAGCTGCCTAATAAATCTTGTGCGGTCTCTGATGTCATAGTTTTGATCATACTTGCCGAGATTTAATATGTACTGGGTAAGCAATTTCGTCTGTTGGAAAAAAACAGAACAAGACAAGAATACAGTTATTTATGATTATTGATAACTCTGGATAAACATATTTAAAGAGGTAATAAAAATGAATGGTTATGTCAAACAAATGTTGCTCCATAGGGAATAAGCATTTTTAACGCCGCAAATGGGATTCTGCACCAGGAGCGTGTCCTCTCCTGCACGGGGAGCTAGGTGAGCGTGGAACAAGAGGCAGCCATGTGCCAGATTATTAAACTGCTCAACTGGAAAGAAAGGCATCATTAAAAAAATAATCATATATGGCAAACCTGCTGAAGGGTCTGCATGAGAATAATGAATGTGGAAATACAACTAAAAACATGGCACTCAAAACTTAATCGGAAAAATATGCAGGACATGAAGACATGAGCGCGCGGGGGCGGCAGCCTGCTAGCCGGAGGTGTGCCTCCTGAAGAGATACTGCCCGCACACTGTCTGCACGCGCTTGCTTCGGCCTGAGTTACGACCCATTAAAGCAGGCACATGAATCACTGAGCTGGATTACTGCAAATTATTCGCAGTGCATTTAGCTGTTACTTTTTCATAAAAGCAAGCCGCTGATGCCCTCTAAACACCAGGGTAAAAGACTTCTTCCATTTTCCCCCAAGCTGCTTATAGCCTCCAGTAATACTGGTCATTTATTTATTTATGTAAAAGAACAACTTATTACCATGGCTTTTATACCATAATAAGACCCCCTAAGTCAATATGTGTAATGTACTACATTAACATATATTGAGATAATTTTAATAATAATTAAGCCAGAATTAGAAATGCTAACAAAGTAGGTCTGTATTTTAAAAATAGTTCTTTTATTAAAAAAAAAAAGCATAGCTTTAATTTAGAAGCCTACGCGTACACACTTTTAACTAAAGGTCAAAGAAGATTCAGAGAATGCACGAAAAACATAAACTGAACAGTCTATCATTTTATATACATAAAAAGATGCAAGCAGGATTACTCAAAGCAGACAAGGCTAGAGACGATTCTAGAACAATAACTCCACGTACACACAGGTAGAACGAGGTGAACCTTACAGGAGTAACTGGTAGTAACTGGTAAGATGATGGCTCTGAACAGAAAGCAACCTTCCTGCAGTACCAGGGTGTTTAAAAAGCACTAACCTAGTTTTATCAAAGCATAATGATAAAAAACGCACGTGAAAATGTTAACAGAGCTATTCTGAGTATACCTACCAACAATTATTTTTCACTAATTGCCAGACCATGTATGGTAAACTACAAGATTAAAAAAAAAAATCTGTATGATTCCTTAAAAGAGTCACCCAAAAAGAAACACAACTCAACTCACTCTTTTGAGCAAGAACAGTTTTTTGGCTTTTATTTCCATTCCTAAAATTAATTTTCAGGATATTAAGTCTTTTCTGTATATTAAAAACTACTGAGAGTAAGAGAAGGCAGTCAAAGTAATTACAATTATACCATTTAAAACATGTATTTATTGACTGTAGAAGTTATGGAGTATGCGTAACAATTTTACTAAAATATATTTTAAAAACTGAAATTCTTTAAAACATGAAAGCTATATGTATGTATATAAAGATATAAAAAAAACAAAAAACATAAGCAGAAAAATTCTTCATGCCGCCTTTATACTTAGCACTTGAGTAAGTTTATTCATCTTTAGTATAAAGGCATCAGTATTTCTCTGAAAAATATATTTTGAATTGGTTTTATTTTTAATTTATTTTTAAATAACATGGCATACAATCTTTTTCAAAACTGAATTTTGTATGCAATTATGAAACTTGACCTTTTCAACTTACTCTTCTCTGTAGACATAATATATTCAATGGAGAAAATGCTGTTTATGGTACTCCTGAGCAACCTACTAAGCTTCAAGAAAATTCTACTGTTAGCAAGGTACTCTTTTTTACTATTTTTTTTTCTTTCATACTGATACTTTTTTAAAAATTTACACTCAAATATGTTACATTCCTCCCTCTAGTAAATGCAAGAAAATTTTTCTGGTACTCATTTTTTTTTAAAGATTTATTTTATTTTCTATTGGAAAGGCGGATATACAGAGAGGAGAGACAGAGAGGAAGATCTTCCATCCGATGATTCACTCCCCAAGTGAGCGCAACGGTCGATGCTATGCTGATCCGAAGCCAGGATCCATATCCCACACGGGTGCAGGGTCCCAAGGCTTCAGGCCATCCTCGACTACTTTCCCGGGCCACAGGCAGGGAGCTGGAAAGGAAGCGGGGCTGCCGGGATCAGCACTGGCGCCCATATGGGATCCCGGGCGTGCAAGGCGAGGACCTTAACCACTGTGCCATCACGCCGGGCCCCTGGTACTCATTTTTATGAGACAAAACTTTCAAATAATTCTTCATCACTTTTCAAATATTAAATCAGATTTGGGTCAGGCAAATTCAATGGCCTTCTCAATTTCTGTTCATTCTGACACAAAATACAAAATCCTTAAAAACAGTTTCATCAAGAGTCTCCAAAAAAGAACTTCCCAATTAAACCCTAAATTTTCATCATTTACTATATTTCACAGAGATAAAGTATAGTCCTTTTTGTTTGCAAAAAAATTGCTATTTGTTAAAAGGTTCAAAAGCAGAAGGTTTTTGATATTTATTCTGGTGATACTTCAAAGATTTCCAAATGACGCTTGAACAAAAATATAACCAATATACATATACTAGATGAAAAATTTTTACAAGGCAATAGAGAAAACATAGGTTCATTGGAAAGCAATCCTAACCAGTGTAACCCCTGTTAATGACACGGCAGGCAGAGAAGCACTGTCCTCGGACGGGTCTGCACACTTCCTCACGCCAAGGTGTGCGCAGGTCTTGATGAGGACCAGTAACCCTCATCACCAGTGGTGCTTCAGCACACAGCATTTGCACACACCACAACCAATTCCCAAAAAGGTCTTTGTCCCAGTTGCCTTAACATACCCAGAACACTGATTTTACCATGACAATACCTTGTGTCAGCAAAAGCAGAATAATTTTATCTTCAATGTTGGGGGTTTTTAACTTAGCACTTCTGACAGTTGGGGTCTCTCCTGCTCTTTTCCTCACCAAGCTCCCTGCTGGTGACCTGGAATGGGGCCAGGGGCCAGCACAGATGGCCAAGCAGCCACCGCAGAGTAGGCCTAAAGAGAGCTCCTCACTCCTGTCTCTGACATGGCTGAGCCTGCCACTGCAGCCATCTTGGAAGGGTGGGGATGGAAGATCTCTCTCTCTAACCGTGGCTTTCAAATAAATGTTTCTTAAAAAACAAAGTATTTAATATTTAAGTAAATAATCATGACATTTTAATATCACCAGCAGCACAATCCAAAACCACATAGAACAAGTATGTTCCAATTAAAAGAAGCATTCAATATCCTATACATATATCCATTTATTAAATTTTCAGATTAATTTTTCTGCAAAGATTTAAAAAGCAGTGACTGAAGCTAACGATTTCTACTATCCAAACACTGTTTACATCAATTACATTCTCCTCACATTTACATGAGTCACCATAAAATAGCAGAAATTAATCTTACAGATTTCAGGAAAACTGAAAATCTATTATTTATAATAATTTCCAACATAAGGGTATTATATTTTTGCCTAAATATTGACAATAGTATTGTAATAAACTGGCGATGATTTATTCAAACAGCTTTCTTCTGATGAGTCATGTGTTGTTTAATGACAAGAATGCTTTCTAAGAAATGCAGAGGTTTCCTAGTTCATTACACGCCAACTAAGATGGCTACAGCGTCCCTGAGCAGGCTGTGAGGGTATCTGACAGCACGGCCTTCTGTGTGTGTGCTCCCGGCTGAACACAGGGTTGGGCAGTGCCTAACTACCACCAACAGCTTAGCACAAAATAACAGCTTTGAGACACTATTAGCGCAAGGCACAAAAGCATAAATTCAGCATCATAGATACTAATATTGGCACCATAAACTCCTCATTTATATTCGCTAATTTTTTAAAAAAAGGATTTATTTGAAAGAGAACGTGAGTGAGTGCAAGAGAATAGAGAGAAGCAGACAGGGATCGCCCATCATCTGGTTCACTTTCAAAACAGGCACAGCACCCAGGTCTGGTCCAGGTAAGAACCCGGAATCGAGAACTCCGTTCTAGTCCCCATGTGGGCAGCAGGGGCCCAGACACCTGGCCCTACTGAGCTGAATGGGCAGGGGCCCAGACACTTGGCCCTAGTGAGCTGAATGGGCAGCGGCCCGGACACTTGGCCCTAGTGAGCTGGATCAACAGGTGCACTAGTGAGCAGCCAGGCGGAACGCAGAACAGCAAGCACTCAGACTAGTGCTACTAGACTAGGAAGGATACTGAAAAACATATTTGAGAAATGAAGGCACGCTTCAACAGAATTCTTAATCTACCCCAAGGCAAATTCAAACAATACTCACGTTCATCTTATTAATCTCTAGATTTCCGGACCACAAAGGACTCTGTGAATTTAAGGTAATGTCTCCACTCAACAAGATTAACCTTTCTGTCAACTTGAAAAGCTTTCTTCTGTCACGTTTTGCAATGTTTTGTTTACTTGAGATATTTTTCTAATATCAAGAAAACATCAAAAATGGGGTACAAACATAACAGGACAGTGCCTGAGCTGCCTGGGTGGAGTAAAGAGCCTTTTCAAAAGACCTAAATCACAAACCAAAACAGAATTTGCCTCTAACTCCATTAAGGATGATCAAAACATCAACAACAGAAAAATACAAACTTCAGTTTCATAGAATATAAGTAAAACAAATGAACTATAGCAAAGGCAACATTTCAAAAGTATATTAAGTGAAAAAAGTACACACAAACAGGATACTGACATAAAAAGTCAAAACCACATACCCCATTTATGGACACAAAGTCCTAACAAAAACACAGATGTGCATGGCAGTAAGAAATACACCAACAGCAATGTTCACCAACGGGAAATCAGGAGACTGAAGCACTTTTCCAAGGAAAAACAGTACATTACAGAAATGAGTTCTTTACCGAAAAATAATCATAACTCATAGGGAAAAAAAATCTAGCCGTTGGTTTATAGTATAAACCAGGTTATAAAAGAAGCAGGTTAAGTGACAGGAGCTATGCCAGGAAATCCAAGCATTTTACATGAACTGTCTCATTTACCCTCAGTAACCTTGGGAGGTACGCTCAGTCAGTTCTGCTCTAATGCTTGTTTTGAAATATGCATTTGTTCCAACTCAGCTGATGTATTAGGGAACAATTTTGGCATAGCATGAATTCTGTGTCTGATTTCTTCTGGCAAAAACACTATGTGAAGGCAGAAGACATTGCACGCCAATGACCTAGGCTGTAGGAACACAATAAAAGCACCTGTTCAGAGTCGCATGGTGGGACAACTTCCCATCGGATCTGTTTGTCTGTCCTGCTGTTGGATTTGAACTCACACACCTTTACGGCTTCTCAACACCCTAACCACGGGAGGCAGAAAGCAGCACACACTGCACTGTCAATGGCCTTTTTCAAGGACACCTCTGAGGGACCCACAGCAAACACAAGAGCAAAGGACCAGAGCGTCAGATGCCCCATCAGAGGGTTCTGAGAAGCGGAACAAAGACAGTGACATAAGGGGGAAAGAACTACAACACGAGAGAGAAATGTGAAATTAAGAGAAAGAGAAACAGAACATTGAACACAAAGTCTCAGAGCCCTCACCAGCCTGGAGAACACCAACAGAAGGCCAAGGGTCCTCTCAGCCACAGCTGCTCAGACAACCAGGGTCCTGAAGGAGCACTCTCAACAGAAACCCTGGTCAACTCAACAACTTCCTCTGCACCTGTAGGACAAGGTCCACATTCTTGAAAATACCTAATGCTCTGTGCTCTTGGGCCAGTATGACAGAGACTCCTAGCTGCTTCTCACAGTTAGGGAGACCGCAGATGATGCAAGCTCAAGAAGTCTGCTCTGTCTCAGACCGAACCTTCTCACTGTGTTCTCATCTCTATCCACAGTGCTTCACCCTTGCCACCCCAACAACTCTCCCAGACCCTACTCCAAATACCATGAGACTGGCAATCAGGCTCCCACGCGGGAATTTTAGGAGACGAGGCACACATACAGACTGTAGCACCCACCTTTCTAAACTCATTTTTATTTTATGACACAATTCCAAACACTCTGGGACTTGCTTCACCACCAACACCCTGCACTAACATCTCTTATTTTGTTACAATACAATGGGTCTTCAAAAACTGTCATAACTCCATCATTCTATTTAAGTGTATTCTGACATTGCAGGTATGGACACGGCAAAGTCCAGCTTCCTACTATCAAGAAACACCTACAGGTTTCACTGGGAATCCATCTTTGATTTAGAAGCAGCGATGCATACTGCACTGCACCTTCACATTTCTATCTGGTAGTTTCTATTATACAGTTCCTCCAGATGTACATGCAGGATTACCCATATACCTATGGCTCTTGTCTTTTGCATGAAGGTTGCCTTATATCAGAGAGAACATGAACTTGCCCTTTTAGGATTGGTTTGTTTCACTAAACTGAACTCATCTTTTGAAGGTCCCTAAAAACTGTTTATGACTCTGCCTGCCCTCTCTCCTTACTCTGCACAAAACAAATCACTCCTTACCATGTCCTTAGTAACATCACACCCATTTATGAAATTTCCTCTGGCCTCTTTCCTTCTGTTTCAGACTGTCAATACTTGTAGAGTTCCACTGTATTTCAATACGTCGATGATAGTAAAGCACTTAGCACATTCTATTTCATTCTTTTATCTGTTTTCCTTCATACTATAGAAGAATGTCATTTGTATGAGCACCTATAAGCTAACACAGGACTGTAAAAACAAAACACACCAGGCATCTAGTAACTGCAGTGTGGCCAGACTAACACAGCAGAAAAGCAAAAGCACAGGCCAGACCCTTTGAATAGCAGCCGCTTACCTGCTTTGAGTTGGTTAAATACAATTTTGCTCCCAGATTCAAAATTTGCAGTTTTACCAGATCATCCTCAGTAGTGAAGCTTTTAGCCATCTTCCTCAAAACATCAGGGGCAATTTTGGGAACTCGCTCACAATTTTCTCCAATTAGCCACAAAATACTTGCTCTGGCCACAGGAACCTAATATTAGAAGCAAACAGAATTAGAAATAAGATACTAATAATTCTCCTTCATATTCCCATGGGAAAGATGTTTAAATGCTCTAATGGCTTAAACTATAATCCATTCAATGCATATACAGGAAGATTCTCTACGTTTATCGACTTATTCAGCTGTTAAATAAACAAAATCTCACTAAAACCAGTTTCAAAGAGAGTGCTGCTATGGTTTACCTGCTGAATGTCTCTAAAGGTTCGCGTGTCCACGTGACCACGTCTGAAGCAGGGAGGGTGCACCCAGAGGGTGGTCCTCAGGAGAGGGTCACGGTCCACGTGTCACAGGCTGTGTCCACGTGACCACGTCTGAAGCAGGGAGGGTGCACCCAGAGGGTGGTCCTCAGGAGAGGGTCACGGTCCACGTGTCACAGGCTGTGTCCACGTGACCACGTCTGAAGCAGGGAGGGTGCACCCAGAGGGTGGTCCTCAGGAGAGGGTCATGGTCCACGTGTCACAGGCTGTGTCCACGTGACCACATCTGGAGCCTGGGAGGGTGCACCCAGAGGGTGGTCCTCAGGAGAGGGTCACGGTCCACGTGTCACAGGCTGTGTCCACATGACCACGTCTGAAGCAGGGAGGGTGCACCCAGAGGGTGGTCCTCAGGAGAGGGTCATGGTCCACGTGTCACAGGCTGTGTCCACGTGACCACATCTGGAGCCTGGGAGGGTGCACCCAGAGGGTGGTCCTCAGGAGAGGGTCACGGTCCACGTGTCACAGGCTGTGTCCACATGACCACGTCTGAAGCAGGGAGGGTGCACCCAGAGGGTGGTCCTCAGGAGAGGGTCATGGTCCACGTGTCACAGGCTGTGTCCACGTGACCACATCTGGAGCCTGGGAGGGTGCACCCAGAGGGTGGTCCTCAGGAGAGGGTCACGGTCCACGTGTCACAGGCTGTGTCCACATGACCACGTCTGAAGCAGGGAGGGTGCACCCAGAGGGTGGTCCTCAGGAGAGGGTCATGGTCCACGTGTCACAGGCTGTGTCCACGTGACCACATCTGGAGCCTGGGAGGGTGCACCCAGAGGGTGGTCCTCAGGAGAGGGTCACGGTCCACGTGTCACAGGCTGTGTCCATGTGACCACATCTGGAGCCTGGGAGGGTGCACCCAGAGGGTGGTCCTCAGGAGCAGGTTGCCAGAAAGTCTGAGATTGGCTGCAACCACTTCTTCATTTGTGCTTCCAGCTTTAGCAGGTGCATCTCCCACGGCCCCACCCATCACAGGGTATCTGGCAAAGCCTGCATCATTCCAGCCAAACCTTCAGCTACCAATTCCTGAACTAAATAAACTTCTTTCTTCCTACGTAGCTGGTTTCAGGTATTTTGCTAAAATAGACTAATGGAGCGAAACCTGCTGCCCAAGAATCTATAATCAGACACTGGAAAATTCTGGAACCTGCCCCTTTGCTTCTGTATTCTTTGATGCCTCTGTGCTATAACACCAGTGAGCAGTTGCACAAAAGACCAGGACAGATTGCTCAGCTCCAACTCCTGGCTACCGACTTACAGAGAAGACCTGTCAGTCTCCTGCTCCAAACAATGGTTCTCAACCCTCAGCACGCACTGAGAAGCCTACACTCTGGCTCAAGAGGTAGGCTTCTGCTGTCATTGTGCAGTAGGGCCCAGAAAGCCACGTCTAAGAAGCACTACAAACGACTCCGAGAAACCAGACAACACTGAAAAGAGATTGATGCTCCATTAAAGAGTACAGTTCCAAGTCAAACCCTCGGGGTACCTGTGCATACAGTCCCTGGAGACAAATTTCATCAAGCTCTGCTTACAGCTCACGAGTCCTGCCCTACCCTACTACTGGTCAACAACAAAAAAATGAGGATAAGACAAACGTGTCCAACACTGCAGCTTGGCATTATCCTTCTAAAATAAAGTACATTTCAACATAATTTGTTTTCTTAAAAATCATCACACTGCTGCAAATTGGAAACCTTCCATCAGTACCATTAAGACCTGCATTTTTGAGTATGCAAATTAGCTTTATTACTGTTGCTTCTTTGTTTCCCCCTCCCATTCCAAAAGGAATTTGAGAGGGCATGTAAATTAGTTTCTGTGAACATTTTCACCTGCCTTGGAAAATTTCCTATTTTGAATAAATGAAAAAGATCACAGCTATATTTAAGAGGTAGCATCATTAAGGAAAGGTCACACTTTCAATGAAATTCTTTTGGCATGCCCAGCTTGGTAGCTTAGTGGCTAAATCCCTGCCTTGCAACTGCTGGGACCAAGTATGAGCCATGGTCCTCGTCCCGCTCTTCCACGTCCCATCCAGCTCCCTGCCTGTGAGACCCGGAAGAAGCTCTCTGGCTTCTGCTTTTGGACTGGCTCAGCTCTGGCCACTGTGGCCACTTGGGGAGTGAACCAGCAGATGGAAGATCTTTCTCTATCTCTCCTTCTCTCTGTAAATCTGCCTTTCCAATAAAAATAAAACACACCCTTTAAAAAATTATTTTGGAATTTCCCAAAATCTTAATACCTCTACATAGTTTCACAACTGTACTTAGCACAAATTGTTAAAGAACAAAGCGACAGTAAGGACTTCTCTATAACTAAACTTAAATTGCGTTATTTGCCACTACTTCTTCCAAAACATCTCATGGAAAAATACGAAAATACTAAAACATCTCTAGGTTAGCTGTGTTTTACCAGAATCACAATGGAGCTAGCAAAATGACTTCGGAATAAAAATGCATGTATTGCCAAGCACCTTAACAGCATTAACTTTAAGTTAATATCAATAAAGCATTTAGTAAGACAGAAGACATCAGCACACTTATGCAACAGAAGGTCTAGGTGCTATTACGGGTCTGTTCACACAGTTTGCAGCACTGATGCCTTACTGAACACTAATCCCTGGAGAGAAAGCAGTCAGCAGTAACACCCCAAAGGTCACACTGCATGAAGACCTTACCCCCAATCTGCCACCTGCAATCGGGCTAAAGAGCGGGAAGTGAGAGGTGTATCGAACTTTCTAGCATAAGCAGTCTGAAGTGCATGTTATACTGAAAGGCACCTCCAGATAACACTACACAGACAACTCCAGGCCTTAGTCATGCCAGACTGATTTTTCTTAAATAGTCTATTATACATTGCTGGTGTAAAACTCAAATTCTATGACATATCACAATCTATTCCTCCTGTTTTAAGTAATATCCTTCTGGTAATTCACTTAAAATTCTCTTTTGTTATTAAAAAGGCAATCCCAAACAGATTTTAAGAGATTATTTATATTCCTGAGTAAGATTACTGACACCTGAATACTCTCAACAGTCACAACACAACTTTTGCAGATTTACCAATCAAGAAATCTTACTGTACACAACTGGAAACTAAAGCTGGTGGTGCTATTGAGAGATGAGACATCTGCAGTTTTCTAGAAATGAGATAATAACCCCCAAAGGAAAGACTTCAGCATTTAATTATCTATCATCTACTTGAAAGGGAGGGAGGGAGAGACAAGGAAACAGAGAGAGGAGAGCAGCCTTCAACTCACCGATTTCCTCTCCAGCTGGCTAAGGGAGGCTGAAGCCTGCAGTTCACAACACCATCCGGGTCTCCCATGGGGTGGCAAGTACCAGAACTGCCATCCCAGCTCCCCAGAATGTACACTAAGATGGGGTACATGGACCCCAGCCCTGGAACCGCGACCCCAGCTTCCCAGGACGCACACTACACAGGGCGGCGCGGACCTCAGCCCTGGAACCGCAACCCCGGCTTCCCAGGACGCACACTACACGGGGTGGCATGGACCCCAGCCCTGGAACCGCGACCCCGGCTCTCCAGGATTTCTACAAAGAGAAAGCTGGGATAGCAGCTGAGCCAGGAAACCAGGCGTGCCAGCGGGGGATGCTGGCATCACAGGCAGCATGGTACCCACTGTGCCAACACTTGTCTTCAACCGTTCCCCGATACACACCCAGGCAAACACCTAAAACACAGAGAACTTCTCCACAAGAAATCGTATCAGTACAAACGCATCACACTTTTGTGCATGTCATTTCATCTAAAAGTGCAGGAAATGGACAAATTTTTGGGCGGCAATCAGAAGCAGTGTTGTTTTGTTTTTTTAAATTCTCTGCATCCCTTTCTTCCTCCCTTAGTTGTGTTAAAATGACTTTTATTTGCACACCCTGACAGTGGAACCCATAGACAGCTGCTTTAAAAGATTTAAAGCAAGTTTAAAAAGCTGGGAGTAATAGAATTAGCCACTTTTTGTGCCCCACGGTCTTTTCACTCACAAAATGAACAGGAACACAGACCCAAACCCACACCAACAGTGCACGCGCCCAGGTGCACACATCACAATCACACACATGATATAATACTTTCATTAGGAACCTCTTCTTTTCAATATTCTCAAAGACAAACTGGATTGTAAATGACTTCGCCCAGCGCTTTATTCTAAATGCCGTGAGCAAGTGGTTAAGTGCACTTTTCAAACCTTTTTACTAGAAGGCAGTTTCCCACTGCCATTTTAACCCATTAACCTGCCTGCAAAAACAAATAATGATTCCTAGCCGCCCCCCCCCCCCGAGCTATACAAAGACATGGAGAGAGGGTTTTACAGATCCCTCTGCAAGCAATTCAATTTACAAGCCATTATGCTTCAACACTAGCCCACTGCAGAGTAAATCCTGCAAAAACATCAATTTTATTTATTTGAGTTTGTCAAAGGCAAAATCAGTGGACATGTAAACAGATGGCATACCAACAGCTCATCACATCGAATATTCTCTGTCTGGACTGAATATGCATTAAAACTTCCATCACGGTGAACCACGTGCTGACGTCAGGGCAAAGCCGGGTGCTGTGTGAAAGCAGGTGCCCAGCGAGGCCTCTGGGCAAAGAGTACACTGCACACTCCTGCTGTATTCCTGGATCGCCCTTGCAGAATCGCACCTTTCAACTTCTCCCAACATACAAAATCCCCACCTGCCCACAGCAGTATGTGATATCCTGACGAAGCAACATGCAGGCTGTACGCACTTTATTCTAGAGTTGCTCTACAGCAGAAAACAGTATCTGTTACAAAGGAAGGCCCTTGCAAAGGATAAAATATTCACAACCAGAACATGTAAGGAACTGTACTAGAGGTGGAATCTATTCTATTTGAGGAAATGAAAAAGTCAAATATTTTAGTTTTCCTGTGTCCAAAACCTTTAACGCTCATCTAGGAAACCTCCAGCATATGCTAGCCTCTGATTCTGAGAACTATACAGACTCTGTCATCATCAAGGACAACCTAGGGAGACCCTACCACTATCCCCACCCGAATATGAGGAAACGGTTAACAAAGGGGTTAAGGAATCTGCACACATCTCATGGCAGGTCAGGGGTGAATCCAGAGCCAAAACGGTGAAAACTGCAGGCACAATTCATGCCAGTCCAGAGGGCAGAGAACCTGAGTGTGGGAAACGAGGAACGGCAGCCAGCAAGCCACAACTGGTACCAGACATGACGGAGGCAACCAAGCTTCACCGTGACGGGCCTCGCGCCTTACTAATCACCCCCTGTCCTGAGCTGCCCTGTGCAACAGCGCCTTTCCACCTCCTGCCATTTCCCCGAGAGCCTGTTTATACTCCTGCAGCCTGGAGCACTGACAATGGGTGCTGCGGTTTCATGGCTGGGTACAGGGGGCCTATCTCTTTACTTCGTGCCTCTGCCAGGGGGGCTCTGGTCCTTTCACTGGGTTCCAGTGGCTTCGCACCCCTCCCTGGGGAATTCAGGATGAACAGGAGAGTCAGGAAGACAGAGGCCACATTTCCTAAACTATTTCCATCTTACTAAAATTTTTGTTTTTTAAAACACAACTAATTGAGAGCCAGGAGGCTTCTTCTGACATCCCACGCAGGCACGGGGTCCCAAGGCTTTCCCAGGCCGCTGTCAGGGAGCTGATTTGGAAGTAAAACAGCTAGGACCAGAACTGGAACCCATGTGGGATGCTGGCATGGCAAGGTAGATGATCAGCCAGTTGAGCCATCGCTCGGGCACCACCTCCACCTGATCCCACCCAGGAGTATTCTTAACGCTTAGTACTCAGCAGTTTCAGTTCTAGATGATTAAGATGCCCCATATTTTTCAGGAGTTCTTATTTGGCATTTTGTCGCCATTACAGCATATGTTTATATCTCTCTATTCTAAGCGTTCACTGGGTAGTTGCTGGTTGGAGAACAGATTCTCTCCAGGAGCTTGCCACCCCTGCAGAACACAGCTGAACACAGGTGGGAGGTTGTGTGTCTAAAGACACTATTAAAACTAGATGTTTCATTTACTGTGTTTCTGACTTGGTCTGTTTGGGGGAAAAAGGGATTGGGCTGATTTATTCCCCAATTTGCTAGTGATTCTCGAGGAAGCAATACGCACGATACAATCCTGAGCAGCTCAATAAGGAAGAATGGGAAATGAACACAGGAAGGAAACAGATGGTCCCACAAACCCGTTCTTACCGCCAACTCAAACGCCTCTCCAAACAGGGAGCCTGCGTTACAGTACGCCCTGCTCCTACGTGCCACAGCAGCTCCTGGCACCCAGTGCTGCTGCACACTCCTCTGCCCTGCGTCTGTGACAGCAACAGGGGCCGTCAGAGCCTGCCTGGCGGCCAAGGCCCCGGTGGGGGACTCGAAGGGCCTCCCGGGGTTCTGGCTGCAGCCTGGCCCAGCCTTGGGTGCTGAGGCATTTGGGAAGCCAGTCAAGGGAGGAAAGAGTGAGCTCTCACACACCTTCAAATAAACACGTAAGACGGTGGCTGCTTTCTCAAGTGTAAGATCGAAACAGTAATAAAAATCAAATTCACAAGCTTATGAAGAAAATTAATGTTTTACATTTTAAAAATATTTAGAATAGTGCTTGGTAACAACAATCTATACTACAGAGACATGCTAAAGAAATAATATATTAGAGCTACCTGAAATTTACAAAATTTAATTATATCATAAAATGGGTCTTTAAAACCATTAACCACAACTTTGTTGACATGGGGCATTGCTGGGGCCTCTCACACACAGAGTCACTCAACCCTCATGATGGAATTACCAGGTTGTCGGGACCTGAACTCAAAGTGGAACAGGTGGGACCTAAACTGGAGCTAATATGAGATGATGTTACAGGTAGAGGGGGCTTAACACACGATGCCACAACACAGACCCCCTAATACTACTTTCTATCTACAGAATGTTATCAACTGTTCCTTGTAGTACACTTCATAGCAAAAAAAAAAAATCTAGAACTACATGTTGCATGGCACTTCCAAGTTCTTTTTAGTCTCCTATAATTTGATAAAGTGTCTGAGTCTCATTTCTGTGCATAATATAGCGTGTTGCTCCAGAGTATAGATGAGTTATTCTGTAGACTCCCTCGAGATGGGTGTGTATTCTGTTTCCTGACACTCAGGTTCAAGCTCCTTGTTTTGGGGGGCTGTAACCCCACTGACGAGTACACTGAGGAAGTCCTGCTGGGTCTCCCCACTGTGGTCACTGCGCTCATCTTGTACCTGAGGAAGTCCTGCTGGGTCTCCCCACTGTCGTCACTCGCTCATCTTGTACCTGAGGAAGTCCTGCTGGGTCTCCCCACTGTCGTCACTCGCTCATCTTGTACCTGAGGAAGTCCTGCTGGGTCTCCCCACTGTCGGTCAGCACGCTCATCTTGTACCTTTACGAGGAGATATTCTGATACTCTGCGAGTCACTATTACTCTCCAAATGTTCACCCATAAATTTTTAAATGTTAGAAGTTGTTGCTGAATCAATTGTCGCTGTGATGGCTGATAAATGGTAATATTCTAATTCAATAATTCCTTCCACATTTATTATTTATTTCTAACTGTAAGGAAGAGGGTCAACCTCTTTTCCTCTATCTACGCACCCATCCCAGTTCAAAAGAAGATTCTCACCCGACTCGGCTGCTTGGGACAGAACGTGCCGTGTTGTTCTGACACGGCGGCCGCTCCAGGCCAGCTCCCGGGTCCTTCCAACACATCCCCACCACCCTCTGAGCTCCACTCCCGCTTCTGTGTTGGCTCAACAAAACGCTGCAAGTTCATCTTGTTCTCTCTTCACTCTACTGCTAAAACAACCACGTCTCCAGAGTCTCAAGCAGTGAATGGGATAAATCAAGACCTGGCATAAAAAGGAACAAAGTACTATGCTTCACAACACGCACGAAAGCAAGCGGACACAAGAGGCCACAGCCTCTAAGGCTTCATCTTCACGCAATGTGGGGAACAGGAAATCCGGACACAGAGTAGAACACTGATGGCCAAGATGAAAGAACTGAGGAGTTTCCTGGACTTTTCAGGGGATGAAAATGTTCTGAAATACTTAGTGGTGACAACTACACAATCTTATGAGTCTACCAAAATCACAGAGCTGCGTATTTCAAGAGTAAGTTTTACAGTATGAAATTGTACCTTGAAATAAGAGAACCAGCTATGGGCACAAGGGTTTGACATTCAGAACTATGATTTCTAAGCACTCTCAGAAGAATGTGCATTCAGTTACAAACCACATTTGACGTACAAATGTGTTTAGACACAGCACACATACATAAGAACATTGAAGCCGACTGCCACCTCCGACTCGCCAGACCGCGCAGGGCTCCGTCTTCTGTCCTCCCTCTGAGATGTGTAGGAAGTCTTAGCACCAGATCTTGAACCAGGTCAGTTCAAGTCCCTGATGCAAAGCTGCTCCTGATGACCATTCAACTGGGGATGACTCCGGAGTGACGTTCCAACAGCGCCTAGATACTCACAGTGATGCTGTCCAACAGCTTGGCCATGTGCTGAACGATCCCGCCATGTTGTGCAGGCTGCATTTGCAATAATTTCTTTATAACAACCACACTTTCAGCAACAACGATTTCTGAAATAGACCAAGAACATTTATATTAAACATGCACAATCCAATTAAAATGCAATATACTTGATCAAACAGATAAAGCATATACTGTTAGCAAAACACATTCCCCATGCCTTAAAAGATGAGGTTAAAAAAAATAACTACTACGTTATAAAATCTTAGGGTGAGAAATCTACCTTAGTTAGAAACGTTCATTTTAAACTTTAGCTTGTGTTGCTGTCTCCTGGCCTCTATCACCCGTTTGAAATCTCTGTTTCTGTGGGCCAATTATGTAGAGGTTTTCAAACATCCAAAACCTAAACATTTTCTTTAATCCACAGGAAGCAGCAAGTTCAAAACAAGTTCTCATTCCATGGCACACTCAGGCAGAAAGCTGTTGGCACAGCAGAGACCCAAGACGAGCCAGGAGAGCACCTCCCTGCTTTCCCGACTTCACGCTGCCTGCCTTGACCCAGCCTGTGCTCGCTCAGGGCTGACCTCTTACTGTAGCAGGAGACCAGGAGCCAGGGTGCACACATCATCCTGGAGCCTGCTGGTGGCGTGCACACCCCTCTGCTGGGCCTGTCCTGGGAGAGGCTCTCTCCTACAGGCTCCAGGCACCTCCCGCTCTTCGCACCCCTTCCTGTGCCTCCAGGGACTTAGGGCAAAGGCTGCCTATTATTAGCCTGTTAGCTACTTTATGGTTTCTTGGTTTTCCTTAGTACAGCGTATACCTTACAAACAAAACCCTCCTTAAATTCTCTCTAAGCACCCCTGCCAGGTGCGCCATCTGTTTGCTGCACAGAGAAGCATCCCTAACATAGTTAGCTTACACAGCCCTATGAGAAGGGACTAAGCACCTTCCCCCACTGGGACGGGGGACTGAGTTACACACTGAAGCAGCCAACTGCTACTCTGTAGCTACTTCTCTTTTTTCTTTTTTTGAAAGATTTACATTAAAGCCCATCCATGAAATATGATCACAAATTTTTTCCATTAACTTAATCTTTTAATCCAAGTTTCCATGAACACTTTGAAGTAGCCTCATGTTTTCTTATCCCTTTAAAAATACAAAAATCTGTCACCATTATAATCATTATTAAACACAAAAATTTCAGATACTTCAATCTTTTTTAAAGATTATTTATTTGAGAATCAAAGTTACAGGGAAACAGGGAGTCTCTCTCTCTCTCTCTCTCTCTCTCACACACACACACACACACACACACAGAGCTCTCTCTTTCTCTCTCCCTCTCTCTCCCTCTCTCTCTCTCTCTCACACACACAGCTCTTTCTCCCTCCCTCTCCCTCTCTCTCTCTCTCTCTCACACACACACACAGAGCTCTCTCTTTCTCTCTCTCCCTCTCTCTCCCTCTCTCTCCCTCCCTCTCTCTCTCTCTCTCACCCACACACAGACTCTGTCTCCCGTCTCTTGGCCAGTGCCAGGGCTGGGCCTGGCCAAAGCCAAGTGTGAGGAGCTTCATCCGGGTCTCCCACAAGGACTGCAGGGTCCACCTTCCAGGGTCATCTTTCACTGCTCTTCTCAGGCCATTAAGCACATAGCTGGATGTGCAGCGGAGCAGCTGGGACTTGAACCAACACCCACCTGTGGTGCCAGTGCCACAGAAGGTTGTTTCGCCAGTGTCAATGCTGGCCCCAGTTTACTCTTTCTTCACAGAAATGGTAGGTTAGCTAAATGTAAATAAACAACAGGCTACTAAAACTTACGCTTCAATTGACAGCTAGGTATCGTGCTACTCACAGTTTAACGAAAGAAAAACAAATTAGAATTAAATGACTGTCCACAACTGAACTCAGACCCAGCTTACAGCTCTGCCTCCCATTGCCACTGTGAGCAAGCACTGCTTTTACCACGAGAACCACCGGGCATGGCAAAGAAGACGATGGGGGGCCGGAACGAGATCCGTCCTCACCAGGCTGAACTAAGGCAGCTGGGCATTTACGCCTACGGGTGGAGCTAACGAGTTCATATCACAAAAGCCTCCTTTCATGTACACTGTGGGGAAAACTCACCTAAGAAGAAAACGTACATCATTTTAATTACCTACGTGCACAGACAGAATTAGTAATAGGTGAAATATGTATGTGGCATTATTTATGCTTTTGTCTGTCAGTTTCCTACTATTGCCAGATTGCCACGGACTCAGCTGCTTAAACAATACAAATTATCATCTTACAGTGTGCAGCAGGAACTTTAACAGCTCTTATGAGATGAAATCCTTGCTACTAGGGCAGCATTCTCGGGGACTTTTAGGGGAAACCCTGTTCTTTGGTCTCTGCACACACTCTTTCGGTCTACGGCTCCTGGAATCTTTCCTGCCCCCTCCCTCCACTTCCCTGGTCTCCCAGCTTTCCTACCTTCCTCGCCCCGTAGGGACTCTAGATCACAACGGGCCAAACAAACTCCCCATCTCCCGACCCCAGTTCAACCCTGTCCACAAAGTATGCTTTACCAAACCATGTAGCACAGCCAGGGCTTCTCAGGGCACCTGCCTCACCTTTCTGCCCCATGAGCACGTGTTTTCTCATTCTCTGCAGGCACTCTGTTCTGCTTGCCCTCTGAGCTGCCTCCTGCTTTGCAAGGCTCTCAGCTCTACGGCACTGCACTCCCAAAAGTTCAAAACGACCCTGTGTTCGACCCCTTTCTTCATTCCCACCTTGTCCTCAAAAAAAACCAACAGTCCTTCTTGTAACAAGAACACCACTACTATTCCCACTTCACAGAGCAGAAAACAACCCCCCAGCCAGCCTGGCCACTCCCTCAAGCCAGCATCAACACTCCCAGCCAGGTCATCTGGCTCCACCCGGACGTGGCCACTGTGCTCTGTCATGGTCTCCCTCCTCTAGACCACGTGCTCTGTGATATTTATTAAATATCTGAACTAATTCATCAGAAAATGCCTACTGAATTTTCAAAAACAAAAAAGTCTTCCACCTAAATCCTTTTAGTTTATAGTAGATGGCAACAGTTACTCAGATGAATTTTATTAACATTTTCTAAAATAATTCATCTTAAGCAATTAAATTATCCCAAACTGGTCCTTGAGAACTTTTAGAACTTTGAGAATGATAATGGACTACTTTTATGGTCATGGGCCTTCTTAGCAAGCATCTGTCTACCCCAAAGAGAAGTCTACAGCACTGAGATAAACCACAGCCCCAACAGCACCCAAACGCTGGGCTGCGGCGAGAGGTACAGCTATTCAACTGACCACAGAACCAAAGCATCCTACAGGCCCCAAAGACTTTACGGATTTTAAATAAACATAATACTCACTCTTAAATGTAGATCCTTCAACAGGAAGGAGAAAAGTGAGTCTGCCATTAGTGACCATTTTAAAATTAAAACTACCGCTTCTTTAATAATAATTCCCTCACATTCAAGAAAGATAGTATGTATACATGTGTATATAATATTTCATATCAATAAAATATAGAGTAAGTGATTAAAACTAAAAACTTTTTAATTGACTGTTTCACAATAGTGAACTCAACTAATAATAAAAAGTTCACTTTGGTACATTTCCTTGTGTCCTCTCCCACTCACTGTGCTCAGCAGGATTTCTAACTTACTAAAGGAGAATAATGAAACGATGGTTGATGAGGTATTCCTGGCTGATGATGCTGATGATACTTCGTAAGTAGAAACTGGACAAGGCAACTGACCTCAAGTGGGAAACCACGGGTTACAAGGGGGCTGTTCTACCATCAAGGTGAAAATATCAGAGTTCAGACAAGTAAACTCTCTTACTTTTTAAGGATGATTTATAAATTATATGTAATTTTAATCTACTTTTCATGTAAAAGTGCTGTAGAGAATGCATATTTTTAAAATCAAAGCCAATAAAAATATTTTTTGAGAAATTAAAGTACCATAACACAGCTGAAACAGCAATAACCTCTTTAAAATCCATATTCTGAATATTTGATGAGAGAAAAAGAATGTGAAAAATAATACTGAAAACATCTGAATACATACTGCACTAAAAATCAGTACTGTATCTAACCAACTTCGGGTCATTTTTTTATATTTTATATAACTACTTTTTAAACAATAAAACTCCAACATAGCTTGAATCCTTACTGCTGAATGCTTTGAAACTATTTTCATACTTGTCAAAGGTCTAGAATTATATTCTCCAGAAATGCATCTTAGTTTTTAAAAAAGTCATTTTTAAAGATACAGGAAAATAAAGATATAAGTTCTAAAGTCACATTTCAAAAAGTGTGATAAAGAGCCAGAGACAAAAAAAAAGACAGTTATTTAAAAAAGCAAAACCAAAAGCCCAAACCACACACAGACAACACCGCCGGCGTTACCTCTCAGTTCAGTGTCTGATCCTTGTGCCGGCACTGATCTGGAGTTTTAACACAATCTGCAGAAAACACCTATGACAATACCTTGAGTTTCCAGATACAGTGGGTGACCACTTTTATAAGAAAACCCAGTATTACTTGGAATTATATGTTCTGAAAAAATACTTAGCTGTCTAAATCGGAAAAGAACAATGAGTGAGAGGAGATGGCGTGAACCCCTCGACCGGCCACAACCAGCAGCGCTGGCACAGGCCGAGTGGAGGCGCTCGGAGTTCTGTCCTGGCCTCCCTGCTTCCGGCACGTTAGCGGGAAGCTGGCCAGACACAGTGACCTTGGCAGCCAGCACCAGGCGCTGGGCGGCCAGGCGTGCGGCCTGCAGCGCCATCCGCCAGCTCTGCCTGACTTTGTTGTTCATATCAGAAGTACTTACAACATTACACTCTTCTGAAGACAACAAACATGGGGAAAGGTGATCCAAAGTGACAGAATTACTGCAGTAAAGAGGTATTTCTCAAACAAGGCGCAATAACCAATTTTATATTTCACATCATGGCTGCTATATCATTTTGTCTTTATTTAAACACAGCATAAATCTATAATTCTGAAAATTTTAGGAATTTTATGTAGAAAATTAAGCTTTTCTTTAGAAGAATCTCATTCTAATCCTTACTCATTACTCTTTTGTTTTCTTTAAACTGTCCCATCTACTCTGAAGCAACTCAAAGAATAACTTTTTACCACAAAACATTACATGAGGGCCCAGCACAGTAGCCTAGCAGCCAAAGTCCTTGTGTTGTACATGCTGGGATCCCATATGGGCGGCAGTTCTAACCCCAGCAAGCCTTTTCCCATCCAGCTCCTACCTTGTGGCCTGGGAAAGCAGTCGAGGACGGCCCACAGCTTTGGGTCCCTGCACCTGTGTGGGAGACCTGGAAGAGGCTCCTGGCTCCTCGCTTCTGATTGACGTAGCTCTGGCCATTGGGGCACTTGGGGAGTGAATCAACAGATGAAAGATAATCCTCTCTACCTCTCCCTCTCTCTATATATCTGACTTTCCAATAAAAATAAATAAAAATCTTTAAAAAATTAAAATTACATGAACTCTAGAGTACATATCTCCTATGATAATATGATTTTGCAGAATGCACAGATATGGTCCGTATTGAAAGGCTGAAGCTGTTCCAAATGGATGGTTTTTAAGTGTAGTTAATGCTGATCATAAACATGACAGGTAAATTTCTGGAGGGAAAAAACTGTTGAAGAGCTGCAGAATGGTCAATGCAGTCTCCGACTAGCCTCGCTCATTGTTGGAACATTTGCCTGCTTTTAGCACCCTCTGCTGGTGAATCAATATTATGCACATTTTACATGGCACTAAAAAACAGACCTTGGTGAAAATGGTAAACTCTAAGATTTGAAGTGAAACAAAACTTGCTTAAGTCTCACTGGGGCAAGACAATTACTGTTGCTTCATCATACATTTGTGTGTGTGTGTGTGGATAAGACTAGTATGTTTTTCCGTATTGTTTCCTTCATGTTCAAAGGGGGGTATTAAGGGAGAAGGCCCACCCGATTTCCCACCCTCCCCAGGTCCCAAATGTAGGGCACATCATACATTTTAATAATAATCTTAGAAAACTCGCAGGATGTGCGCACGTCTGTGTGTTGCAAGGATTCAGGGCTATTCACCAACAGGAAAGTACAGTTCAAAGTTTATGAAGGTTACAGCTTTCACTCATCCTGAGAAAGTCCCAGTTATAATGCACCTGCACTTACCGTCCCTGCTGGAGAGGAGACAGACCAGGCCATTGAGGCAGGAGTCGGCGACCTCGGAGATGCTGGTGGCGCATCTGCCCACAGTCTGGATGGTGGCTGCAGCAAACTGCTTGTCCTGGCTTTTGACGTAGGTCTACGAAACATTTCAGCGAACCAAGAAAACACGCTGCATTAAAGACGTGCCAGGAAGTGCAGAGCACACAGGCTTCACACAAGCACGGTAGAAGGCCTGCTGTTTTACTTAGTCTGTTTTTGAACCTCACGAAAGTGCACACCTACAAGCCAGGCTCATTCACCTGTGGCCACAGAGCAGCCATGCAAGGACAGCCATTAGTTCAAGCAAAAGCCTGAGAGATGACGAGAACTCTCTCTGGAGGTTTCAGTTCATTTAACCACAGGCATCTGTGGCTGTGAGGCAGAAAGGGCCACTTCTGCAGAGACACCACAGCTGGACCAAGGACACCACAGCTGGGCCAAGGAAGGCAGGGGCCAACAGGCTGCTGGAGGTCACTTCACTTTCAAACAGGATCAGAATAGGTGCAAAGCTACAACGAGCTGCATTTCAATAAAGACTAAACAAATACCATACATTTAAATACATTTTCTATGAAAGTATTTTTTTAAAATACACTGAAATAGCACATTCAAACAAAAATAAACTAATCACAGAGTGTAACATGGGAAACATAAAAGACGGTCACAAAACTTTCAACACCCTTTACTAAAGAACTTCATTTTGATTAACCCTTTCCTAATTTAAGAAACTAAGCTTTCACTGCTTAGAGAAGGGAACATACTTACATGTATCTAAACATCATGTGTCAAATTATACATAAAAGGGATTTAAGGTGCCATTCTCAACTGAGATTCTTTTTTAGAGATACATTTATTTATTTCAAAGGTCAGAAGCAATCTTCTTTCTGGTTCTATCTGCAAATGGCTACAAAGGACATCACGGGGTCGGATTAAAGCCGGGAGTTTGGTCTGGGTCTCGCACGTGGACGGCATCGGCCTGGGCACTTGGGCCAGCTGCTGCTTTTCCCAGGCAGCAGCAGGGAGCTGGACCGGAAGCAGACCAGCACTGACAGTAGTGACTTTATCCACAAGGCCACAACACCAGTCCCTCACTGGAATTTTTTTTAAAAAAACTTTCCAACATCAAATAGAAGTCTCCAATATAAAGTGAACAAAGTGATTATCTAAAATGAAAGTGGTTTCTAAGGAAATGAAAATGGAAAAATAAAATTTTTAAAGACGTATTTATTTTTATTGGAAAGGCATATGTACAGAGAGAAGGACATGGGATCCCGGTGCATGACAGGTAAGAATTCAGCCACCGAGCCATGCACTGGGTCCTAATTAGTGGCTACATCCTTGCTTCGCATGTGTTAGCAACCCACATGGGCACTGGTTCTAGTCCCAGCTGCTCCACTTCCCATCCAGCTCCCTGCTTGTGGCCTGGGAAAGCAGTTGAGATACCACAAAGTCTTGGCACCCTGCACCCACATGGGAGACCCAGTAGAGGCTCCTGGCTCCTGGCTTCAGATCAGCTCAACTCTGGTCGTAGCAGTCACTTGGGGAGTGAACCAGCGGATGAAAAATCTTTCTGTCTCTCCTTCTCTCTGTACATCTGCCTCTCCAATAAAAACAAATAAATCTTTAAAAAAAAAAAACACACAAATTTAGTGACAATGACATCCAGATGATTAAATGTTGAAGAAACACACTGCCCTCAGCTCCACAAAGGCAAATCCAATCACACGTAAAACCATTCCAAAGTTTAACTTCCGCAATTAAAATCATACTTGAATGATGAAAAGAAATTCCCTGCTCTCCTCACAGCTACTAAAAATATCTATACAACTTAAAGACAAAGTCAATCACATATTTGACAGTGATGAAAATTAACATGTGTAAAGGAAAAACATTTCAGAGACTTGAAAAAGCAAGCCTTCTGAACCATCCCGACCTTCCCTGAGTGGCCCAGCACTATTCTCTGCCGGCTCGGTACGCATCTTCTGCAAGCCTGACCCACTCCTTACGTGCAGGGACAGCGGAAAGGCGCTCCAGGAGATGACCCAGACAAGAGGAAAACCTGCAATACTGATGCGCCATCCACTGCTGAGCTGCAGGCAGAGCTGCAGACTCTTCCTCCATCACAAAGCTCACAGCGTCCATGACAATAATTTTGGAATAATATTTTTATAGGAAATGCAAGTAGAAAACATTTCATCCGTCAGGATATGTGACATAGTATAATAAAACAAAACAGACACAATAGTTGAAAAACAAACCACAGGCGCACAGGTGGCCGGGTGTAAACTCTTTGCTTAAAGCTGTACGTGAGACCAAGGGAACAATTCTAAGACAGTGATGGGCCAATCAACCAGTGTCAACCAGGTAACGAATGAAGACGTTCTCAGGAGAGCTGACGACGGATGACAACAGCACAAAGAGACAGAAGCCACAGCAGAGTCACAAACCGCTAGGAAAACATGGAATTATAGGCTTGTATTTTCATTTTTGAAAATGTATACATTAATGATTTCCAGACTGAGCGAGACAGACACACACCTTAGGAGTGATGTTATAAGTAGCACAAAAACACCAACCTGGAATTCTCGAAGCAGAGTTGATATGTTGGCTTCATTTGCCAAGTTCGTTAAAATTTCCAGCTACAGCAAAAAAAAAAAAAAAAAAAAAAGCATTAAAACACAAATAAAACTATGAATTTAATAGAGGCCAGATAATTAATTAGAGGTTGATTTCTGTTTTTATATAAAAATCACTTTCTCGCAAATACGGTAAGGTATACATCCTGGTGAACTGAGTTCACGCTCTTATGGCAACACAGACGAGGTCATTACATAGTTCTTCTGTTGTTGTTTTTTCATTACATATTTCTTTTTTTTTTTAAATATTTATTTTTATTATTTTTTCATTGGAAAGGCGGATATACAGAGAGGAGAGACAGAGAGGAAGATCTTCCGTCCGATGATTCACTCTCCAAGTGAGCGCAATGGGCCGATACTATGCCGATCCGAAGCCAGGAGCCTCTTCCGGGTCTCCCACGCGGGTGCAGGTTCCCAAAGCTTTGGGCCGTCCTCTGCTGCTTTCCCAGGCCACAGGCAGGGAGCTGGAAGGGAAGCGGGGCTGCCGGGATTAGAACCGGCGCCCATATGGGATCCCGGGCGTGCAAGGCGAGGACCTTTAACCACTTGCGCCACCGCGCCGGGCCCCATATTTCTTAAAAATAAGGAAAAGGGCCCTACATCTTCACTAATTGTACCAATTTTACAACCTACATTTAATGAACCTTAGCAAATATAGGTGGTTTAAGTTTTAGTATCGATTAAGAACATTAGAAAATAATCTAAGCTCCACATAATTAAGTCTCTCCATTAGTCACCCTACATTCAACTAATCAAAATACTTGTGATGCTTTTCATTTCCTCTCCTGAATGTAAGAAATACACAATTTTAAAAATCCACCTTCAGGGCAGGTGGGGTAGCGTATCACACAGCCACCAATTTTAGAACCAGACACTCCATTTCAAATCTGGCCCCTGCCTTGTGGCCTGGCAAGGCAGCGGATGGCTGAAGGCCCTGGCCCAGCTCTGTTAGCTGCAGACGTCTGGGCAGTGGAAGACCATTCTTCCTCTGTTTCGCCATCTCTTTCAAGTAAAAAGCTAAATTAACAGTTGGTCTCCAAGGAATCTGAAATAAAATATCTGCTCTTAATCCTAATACCTGTTGAAAACAAAAAAGATTTTAAGAAGCAACAGACTATCAATGAAGCAAGTCATAAGCATTTTAATATCAGTAACTGCATTAAAAGTAAATGGTATATACACTTTAGTTAAAAGCAACAGATCATGGGATGTTCTCCATATATTCTGGGTAGACACCATTGATTCAACTCTCCAGGATTACTTGACTCCTCATTCCGGTTCATGACACACAGTTGAGCTATGCTGGTGAAGTGTGTCTCTATTCCACACTCACAGCATGCAGAGGATGAGAACACTGCAGGTGCACCTGCGCCAGCGTGCTCACGCAGACCGCAGCGCGGGCACACACAGACCGCAGCGCGGGCACACGCACACCGCAGCGCGGGCACACGCACACCGCAGCGCGGGCACACGCAGACCGCAGCGCGGGCACACGCAGACCGCAGCGCGGGCTCACGCAGACCGCAGCGCGGGCACACGCAGACCGCAGCGCGGGCACACGCACACCGCAGCGCGGGCACACGCACACCGCAGCGCGGGCACACGCACACCGCAGCGCGGGCACACGCACACCGCAGCGCGGGCACACGCACACCGCAGCGCGGGCTCACGCACCTTCAGGGTTTTGATCATGGTCGGGTCCGTGGATCTAACGTAGAAACTCTTCAGATACGGCTCAAACATACCCTAGAGTTCAAAAACAAGCATGAATGCATTTATTGTGATAAAGTATTCACTTGACTCTTACATTCTATGTTCACAACGTACATACCTTTCTTTGAATTGACATAGTTGCTATATTTTGCAGGACAATGTATTGCACCTCCCTGAAAATTAAAAGACAATTTTCAATGGAAACACTTATAAAGAAAATATCTCTTAATAAAAAATGTAAAATTGAAAAACTTTTTGCAAATATTACACATTTATACCTTCTTTCAACGGATTTTTCCTATAAAGGCCTAATAAACTATGGTGATATAAGGCGAAGTTCAAACAAAGTTTATAAAACTATACTTTGTTTTTTTTTTTAAAACATTTATTTTTATTATTTTTTTATTGGAAAGGCGGATATACAGAGAGGAGAAACAGAGAGGAAGATCTTCCGTCTGATGATTCACTCCCCAAGTGGCTGCAGTGGCTGGGGCTAAGCCCATGTGAAGCCAGGAGCTTCTTCCAGGTCTCCCACACAGGTACAGGGTCCCAGGGTTTATCCATGCTTGACTGCTTTCTCAGACCACAAGCAGGGAGCTGGATGGGAAGCGGGGCCACTGGGACTAGAACTGGTGCCCATGTGGGATCCCAGCATATGCAAGGCAAGGACTTTAGCCACTAGGCTACCGTGTCAGGCCTCCACAAAATGATACTTCTAACACAGAGAGCCAATACAGTAGCTGCTCTGAACACATGCAAGGGAAGTGTTTTTAGGGGTTAAGGGCTTAAATATCACCACGGTATGCCACCCTAGGAGACAGCAATGATGACCCAAGCACTGGGGGTCTGCCCTCCCTGCGGAAACCCAACAAGGAGTTCCAGTCTCCTGGCTTCGGCCTGGCTCAGCTCCGCCTGTGCGAGCACTGGGCGCAGGAGCCAGTGGGATAGAAGGGTATTCTTCCAATCTGTGTCTCTCTCACTGTATTTCTCTTTTCACATAAATGAAAAAAAAAAACTTTTTTTTAAAGCAAAATGCATCACTGAATAAAGAAGAAATATATATGAATTTACAACCTACCTATTGCTACGAAGTAAACGCACCAGAGACTTAGAAATCACACCAGCCTCAGCTTTGGGCGAAATGTGCCAATACAGCTGAGCCACGGCCATGACCACCTGCAGGACCACACGGGAAGCAAGAGCAACGGTGAGTACCAGCTGCTCTCACGCAGCACTTCCTCCAGACGCCAGCAAGTGTTGAAGTGTGAGTGTGCCACATCTGTGTCGAGTCTTACACTGCGATCTGGAATGCAACTGGAGCTGGGGTCTCTGCAGATTCTCTAAGACCAAGACAAAGCCATGCCGTCACAGAACAGGCCCTAACTGCAGTGACAGTGCCCGACAGAGAGAAAAGGACAAGCACAGGGAAGACCATGAGGACAGAGCTCACACAGGCCCTGACAGGCTGGCCACGGCAAGGGCCACCAGTGCCACCAGTGCCACCAGGGCCACCAGAGGCCGATTCTCCGCTAGCCCCCTTCAACTTCAGACTTCCAGCTTCTTCACAGGTGAGAACAAACTTCAGCCGTGCTCATACCTACATCTTAGGGCAGTGTGCACAGCCGTGCTGGGAAACAAGGCACGGAGTGACGGCAGGAGCATGGCAGAGCTCAGCCCCACGCATCCCACGCGCGGCCCAGCAGTGTGCTGCTGCTCCGTAAGCCTGACTGTATAAAGAACATGTCAGAGGGCAGCAGGAAGTGCATGAAAACAGAAAAACCAGCCCTTCACAGCCTCCGGGACAGCACAAAGCGTCTCCAGCTCGAGCCCAGCAGGTTACAGAGCAGGTCTCAACAAATTCTCAAAAACTGACACCATTTAAAAAAGCTTCCTCGCCACAATGCAACAGAACTGAAATAAATAACAAGAAACTCTGGAAACTATGCAAACACATGAAAATTGAATAGTTTACTCTAAAATAACCCCAATAGATCAAACAGCAAATCAAGAAACATTTAAGTTTCTTGAAATAAATGAAAATAGAAATGTCATACAGCCAGCTCTACAGAGGGAAGTTTACAGTGTTCAAACACATACCAAAAAGAACTGAAACAAACAAAAAACAATAGAAGACAAAAGAAAACAAATCCAAAATTAGTAGAAAGAAAGAAATATCAGAAGTTGGAATGGACAATGAATCAAGTACGGACTAGGAAGACAATTGCAAAGGCAGGAACGAGGGCTGGCGGTTCAGGCAGCAATCAGGAGGCAGGTGTCCCCTAGGCAGATGGCTGGGTCTGAGTCCATTCCCCAGGCCAGCTTCCTGCAAAAGTGCAACCTGCCAGCCCCAAGTGATGGCTCAAGTGGATGGGTCCCTGCCATTCCAGGAGGGAGGCCTGGACTGGGCGTCTGACTCTGGGCTTTGGCTGGCCCTTTCCGTCAGACACTGGGAAATGCATATACTGTCAGGAGCCCTGCTGCCTCCCTCTCTCTGCTTTTCAATTAAGTAAAAATTTTAAAACATCAGTAAAAAGAAGAGTTGGTTCTTTGAAAAGACAAAACTAACAAACCCTTAGCTAGACTAAAAGAAAAGGGAGACAGAGGAGCAACCCCCTCAATATAAAGGATCATCAGAGACCACGAGGAGTGACCCCTCGATATAAAGGATCATCAGACCATGAGGAGTGACCCCTCGATATAAAGGATCATCAGAGACCACGAGGAGTGACCCCTCGATATAAAGGATCATCAGAGACCACGAGGAGTGATCCCTCGATATAAAGGATCATCAGAGACCATGAGGAGCAATCCCTTGATATAAAGGATCATCAGAGACCATGAGGAGCAATCCCTCGATATAAAGGATCATCAGACCATGAGGAGCCACCCCTCGATATAAAGGATCATCAGAGACCATGAGGAGCAATCGCACAACAACCCTGAGAAGCTAGTGGGCGATTCCTGCAAACGTGGACCTTCACAACGTGAGCCACACAGAGACAGACAGCGTTAGGGGTCAGTCAGAACTCCTGCAGCCCTCCTCCGTGCATGTGCTGCGCCCGTAAGCCCCTCCAGGGCGCACGGTCCAGCCCGCTGGCTGAGTGCCTGCAGACTGTGCTCCACTGTGGGCATCTGAGGAGGGGACCCCGGGGCCCGCAGCTCTCGCTCACAGAACACTACCTGACAAATAGGAACAATTATCAAGTGCCAATTAAACATTTTAAAAGCACATTTCTAAATCAAAAGCTGAAACGTACTTAGGCAACAGTTCTCAAAAATCAGGCTTCTGATGTTTAGCTTATATTCCACACTGTGGTTTCAGTCATTCTTGACAAATGCTTGGTGTTGAACAAGCACTCCGCTACTGAGTTGACACACTTGTGGTTACTGTCGCGGCCAACACCTGAGCGTCAGCGCGAACCTACCGCGGCGTTTCTGCTCTGCAGCAAAGGCTTCGTGTTCCGAATCAGCAGCCTGTGGTCTGGATCCATGGCGTAAGCTTTCTTCCCCTTCCCGGCCCCTTCTTTGTGCTCATCATCAGAGTCATAAAATTTCTCACTGTCTTCAGGACCATCATCCTGGAAGAAAGAATCCAAGCCCGACATCAGTTCTGACCCAGAAGAGACCAAACATTACACCTGGGTATGCCAGCAAGGTCCGGGAGACGCAGAGCGGAAGCCCCCTGAGCACTTGAGGGACTCCTTCCTATCAGAGCAACATTTCTCCACAACCGGAGGCATCACACAGCCACAAGACAAAGGCCTTGCTCTCCTCCTGTTTTGTAACAAAGTCACTGCTACTCAGGGCTGGGGCCAAGGTTTCTAAGCAGACTACAGTCAGTCTCTAAATCTCTAGCCATACTTACAGACAGTCAAAGGGACTACCTGGCCATGACAGCTGGGCCTTGAGCAAGATCCACCATCAGAAACTGGTCAGACACTCTGTATTTTGACCAAAGGGTCAGGGGGAAAGAGGGCACTGCATGAACAGTGACATAAAAATCATAAAAACCTTGACTGGCAAAAAGTAGAAGTTATGCAAGCCTCTGAATTGTCAAGAAAAGTCTGAGTGTAGGGGTTATGAGTATCCATGGCGGTTACTGCCTCCACCAAAACGCTTTTGGTGCTCACAAGTAAACAAGCAACAATCCGATCAGCCAGGGCTCAGGGGCAATTTCTGTTAGCAAATACTTGAAATCCATTTGATTTATTTTATCTCGAGTTTTACTATTCCCAATTTCTGTTATCCATATTCAACTGCAGTCAGAGAACATTAAAATTCCACAATGGATGTGTTTTTAAAAAAAAAGAATGTGTAAGTTTTCAACTGCATGCCCTCATGTGATGAATCCTCAGGCCACTCCCCCATGGCACCCAGGCAAGAACCGTTCCACCTGACAAACCCACACTGCACACACGCCTGCTGGCCACGTGAGCGTCATCTGGTCACTGGAGGGACTACGCAAGTATCTCAAGGCCCGTGTCCGCTCTCACCGTACTTGAAACGGTCCCACGATGCAAGAGGAAAAGTGACACTGACAGCAGGATGTGTGAGACACAGGCTGTGAAGTGCTCCCTCACGGGAAGGGCAGGCCTCCACCGGGTAAGAAAGAAACGTCCATGCCGAGGATGCCAAGATCCAGACAGGCTGCTGATCTTCTCATGTGCCTAATTCATACATTCAACCTTAGCACGCGTATGAACATGTGCAGGAGACAACAGCCTGCTCGGGCCTCAGAACCAGCTGTGCTTCCTGGAATTAGGGGGTACACAACTGTGCACCGTGGGTCTGCTCGGCAGGCCAACCCCACTCTGGCATGAATGGAACAGCAATGAGGGCTTCTAGCCCTCCCAGTCAGAGAACTCTGAGGAGGAAGACCGCTAGGACCCACATGCAACAAGACCGCTGCTGATCCCTGAAACACTGGTAAGCACCACCGTCAGCACAAAAGGCCTACTTCAATCCGTCTAATATTACGGCGGGACAGCTGTCCATAAAAGGAACCACTTGGTGCTCCAAGAGACGCGAAGACCTCATCTGCATGGTGGGGGAACAAAACAGGGGTTTTAAAAGCAAGCCTCACAAAAATGTGTCAATAAGTAGCCAGAAATGTCTTTGAAACATAAAAATCAGAAAGTCCGAACAAAGAAAAGAAGGTTTCAATAAAAATGACAAGGAAAAAAACTGGAACAGAAACATCACATCTAAAGAATACAAAAACTGAAATTCAAAACTTAGTGAATGGGATCAATACCAGAAGGGAAAGTGCCCTGGAACCCCGAGCAACAGAAACCACCTCAACCGGAAAAAGGCAAGAGGAGGGACAAAAACACACAAAGAAGAACCTCAGGGACCTGCAGAATTACAGCAGGAAACACAACATTCTGTCACCTCTGCTGTGGAAGCAGAGCGCACGGAGGACGGGGCTGCAAAGGTACTCAGCTTCCTGGCAAGGGGAAAGGCGGGAAGGAGGAGAAGCTGAGCCAACACTGCGCAGGAAGTGGAGCCGTCGGGATACAAACCAGAGCACACCTGGGATGGCAACACAAGGGCAGTGGTTTGACGTTCTAAGCCACAATATCAAATCCGGAAGTTGATATATATGGCATCTCTATCATAAAAATTGCTTAGGTTAAAAATAACTGACAGGGCCCAGCGCTATAGCCTAGTGGCTAAAGTCCTCACCTTGAATGCGCCGGAATCGCATATGGACACTGGTTCTAATCCTGGCAGCTCCACTTCCCATCCAGCTCCCTGCTTGTGGCCTGGGAAAGCAGTCAAGAACAGCCCAAAGCCTTGGGACCCTGCACCCATGTGGGAGAGCTGAAAGGGGTTCCTGGCTCCTGGCTTCTGATCGGTGCAGCACCAGCCGTTGAGGTCACTTGGGGAGTAAATCATCGGACGGAAGATCTTCCTCTCTGTCTCTCCTCCTCTCTATATATCTGACTTCACAATAAAAATAAATTAAATCTTAAAAAACAAAAAAGTAACTGACAGACACTTATGACTACAGAAACAAATTAAAAATCCAAGAAATAGCATAAATGCGGGTAAATACAAATGAATATAATTTTTATCATTGGATTTCCCGTTTCTAGGATGCATAAAATATAAATATGTATTACATGACTTCCAAATTAGGCAGTGTAATGTACGAGTGGGATGACAAGCAGGTGAGGGCTCAGGACTCTCCCTCCGAGATGCACACGTCGCCGGTGGCCGCGGCTCGCGCTTCCTAGCCAGCTTCCTGCTAGCGCTCCCAAGAAAGCCGAGGAAGATGACTCAAGTGCTTGGCCTGTGCCGACCACACGGGAGACCCAGATGAGGCTCCAAGCTCCTGGCTCGGTCCTGGCCACTGCAGCCATGGGGGGGGGGGGTGGAACCAGCGGAGGGAGGATTTCTCTCACTCGCTCTCGTTCCTCCTCTCTCTCTCTCTAGAATTCTGCTTCTCAAAGAAAAAAAAGACATGCACCTCAAATAACTGGCAAAGATAACACTAAGATCTATAATGAAAAAGAAAATGAAGAGATAAAACACTAAAGCATATTTTGCTTAACCCAAGATAAGAAACAAGAAGAAAGGAACAGAATAATGAAAAAACACAGCAGAGCGTAAGACTGAGACACAGCCACAGCAGTGAGCACCACACACACACACACACACACGCACACATACACACACACGCACACAGGCGACACAGAAACAGACAGCGTCGAGAAACAGATTACAGCTCACTCAAAACTAAGACAATTCAGACAAAGGAAAGAGTGCAACAGGAAAATATTTCCTATCAGCCTTTTAGAATCATCTACACAGATGGACAAAATCAAGAATTAAATTTTACAAAGGAAATGACATGATTCTATAAATACGTATTATTAAAAAAATAAATTAATAGTCCATGGGTAAGATAAAACACAAAATTTTGTTTCACAACCAAAAAAAAAAATCCTTGTAAAAATCCATCTGCAAAAGAAATCCTGAAGCTTCAGGAAGGCGAGAGTCAAACTCTGACCCGGGGCAGGCGTGCACGAGGCTCAGGAAAGCACGTCCCCAGGGGCCGTCAGGAACAGTGGGCATGAAGAAGAAGCTTGCTTTCTGCAGAGCTCTTATTCCCTAGCTACTTCTTTAAAAGCTGAAAACGTGCCTTAAGAACACATTAAACGACATTCTAAACTTGAAATTTTCTTAACACTGCAAGAGGTTTCATAACTTAAGTATAATTGCACTCAAACACAAAAGTTGTTCTTTCCAAACTTCAGTCATAAAAACTGCCACCAAAACTATGTATCAAGATTCTGAAAGGTATTGGCCAACAACACTTTTAATTTCTAATTGCAAAGTAAAATATTTAGATAATTCTTACTAAGCTTTGTCATGTCCTAATAAAGTTCAATTTTAAAGAGCTAATTTGTAATAATTAGACATTCCTTTAAAGCTTCAATGACTGTTTCATTTCAGCGAACCCCACTGGAGAGTTTTTTTCCAAGCCACTTTTAAAATTTACTTGGTGCTTTATAATACTTATTTTTAAAATTCCATTATTTCTATAAAAGCAACTTACAAATTTATATTTGTGCTTCAAGCATTCTCCTATAATAGGCTTGAATGACAAACAAAATACATAAGTCAATTTATATCCTTGAAAATTATACAAACTTGACCTAGAATAAAAGAAACAACTCATAGGGATTGCAAAGAGTAAGGTAAATTTAAGAAAATAAAAATGCAAATATGCATTTTAGCAGTCTCTTGAATTTATTAACCTAAAAGGTTTAATTTCCATTTTCCTGCATCAGCTTTATTTATAAAATGTCGTGCCCTATAAATATGCTGTTATTTTCTATAGTCAAGCACCCTCTTAACAAATCTTCTCATTAATATGTAAATGTGAAGTCAATGGCTCTTCTCTCTGACAGTCCCCTGAATTCCTAGTGCACTGTATAATCTATTTATCATCAAAGATGTCAGTTAGAAAAATTATGGGAAACGCACTGCAATTGATATGACTGCAATCTACTTTGTCAACACTTAATTGTTCCTCAAATCATACATTTACATATAAACAGCCTAAACACTGATCTATAATGATGCAAATAAACTAAATTAAAAATCTCTTCAGTCCCTGAGGAAGCTTGTTTGTATTTGATGTGTTCATTTTAGAACTTACTGACAAAAACATGGACAGCTTTTCTAAAAAACTTTCTACTCATTTCAAATTCCTCAAAAACGAAATTGTTACCCTTCTAGTAAATTAACATAAACAAATGTTGTTAAAAATTCAATGAGAATCATGATTTTGGTCTTTGAACATCAAATTTAATTAAGGTTGGTCTAACTGAAAACTAAGCTTGGTGGCTCTGAAGTTAGTTTTTTTTCTTTAACAATTAATAGGCTAGCACCTTACGAAAGTAAGCAAAAATGTTAGTTTCAAAGTCCTAAGATAATGGCACAGAGGGAAGGACGCTGGCAGTGTGAGCAAGTGCACCTGCTGTCGGCAGTTCCAGGTATGCTGTCAAAAGTCTGTGTCTCTGTTCCTTCATCTTCAGAACGGGAGTAAGTCCAACCGCCTAACCCCAAATAGAACACTACAGAAGAACGGAAAGGAAAATAATGGGCTATCAAATATGAGCATCACTTCTCACACTTTCTTTTAGTACTTGAGGGAATAACTGATTTCCATGAATCTGATATTGCAGGTAGCTTTTTAATTTTAAATACTGTTGAACTTGATGTATTATTTTAATGACATCTGGTAAACGGTCATTAACTGATCCTTACCGGTCCTGTTAAGCAACTTCTGACTTTCCACAAGAGGGAGTGGAGTGTTAGAATGAAGAGGCACCTGCACCATCGCACCCATGGTATATTCAGCTCAACTGCTGGCGGTCAAAGGCAGCAAAGGTGGTACTCACTCAACAGCGACTCTCCACCTTCCCTGCTGAGAATCACTCATGCTCTGCATGCTTTTCACAAGGTGAAGGCGGAACGCAGAGCAGATCTAAGTGTCAAGTACTTCACGGTTCCCTTCCAGCTACGGCCAAACTGCTTTGTGATTGTTCTGCCCATCTTTACAACTGAAAGTACCATTTGTAGTCCTAAAAAGCAGGAGGCCTTACAAACAATCAGTGAGAAAGCCTGCGCGTCTCCAAGCGCCTGGACTCTGCACGCCAAAGGATGCGAGGCTCGTGCCTGGTCCAAAGGCCGCCATCACCAGCCAAGGCTCTCACGCCTGCAGTGTCCGATTCTGCCACACAGTAAGACCTGGCCTATCCAGCCCCTTTACACTGGTTATGAACAGACCCCGTAGGCACACACAGACATAAGCCATTATGACAAACTAGTCTCAAACAGAACTTAAATAATCAAAAAATAAGCCTTCCAGAGATCAAGGTCAGCTGACACCATCTTAAATTAATCAATATGGTGGAAATATTTTATCAAAAGTAAACCTTCTAACCACTAGGATAACTGAAATCAAACAGATGCCAGTAATCGCCTCTAAGGGGTCAACAAACAGGTTTTAAAAAGGAAATTATTTTTACTTATGTGCTTCAACTATTTCTACAATTTAAAAATCTGTATAACAGCTAAACACAAATCATTAAGTCTGATTTTTTTCTTTGCCCCCTTCTACCTCCCACCCCAAGGAGTCCTGTCAAAGTTGAGGGGAATGGCAGGCCGGGAAAGGCTGCTCTGTTGGCAGGCGTGGCAGACGCCCAGAGAGCACCAGCGCGCCCTGGCTGTCCCCGGGGGTGATGCCTCGGCCTGGGCACCGAGCAATGCCTGGGCACCGAGCAATGCCACACCAGACTGCAAACAAGGGGGGGACAGGCACTCTATGCACAGAGTCCAGACTCCCTCTTACACAAGTGCAGTGACTGCTGTTCAAGGACTTAAAGGAACACACGAAGAAAGAATACTGCCTCATTTCACACACCTTTCAATGTGAGCTTCATCTAAAGCAGGATGGAATAAACACCAAGGAACAGAAAAATGGAGATTTTTAATATTCATGACACATTTCCGAAGACATGGCAAATAAAGAATATACATTAAGCCCTATTTCTATATCAAAATGATGAATGAGAATGTCAGAAACATTCTAACGAGGTGACGAGGCACACACAGGCCCTTCCTCAGCTGGGGAAAAGGAACGGGCGAGCAGGAGCTGGGTGGCAGCGCCCGTCCCATCCGGCTACCAACCACGCCAGGGTCAGCACATGTCCAACAAGGACACGGCCGTCCAAGCTGTCCTTGCTCGGCAAGTAAAATCATCTCATGGAATAGAGAGACAAAAGGAAAGGAAACACTAACATGAGCATTCTGTTATCACTTTCTCATATGGCATAAGTCAAAATATACTTCTTCAATTGTCAAGTAGAATAATTACTTTGATAATACAAATTTTCAAGTGGAGTTAGTTTTACAGGATTTTGCATAGATAGATTTTTACATGCTTAAGTAGCTCTTAATCCTAAAAGTGGGCCAATGTAGAAAAAATAAACATTGTATAATCCTTCACAGGAGCGGTGTGTCATCTAAAACAAACACATGTCCAGTGCGGCTACATTCCCCTCTGACTTCAGCATGATTTGTAACCAACATGAGCAGGATGTACTGAGCACTTGAGGCCCAATCATGAATTAGTACACAAGCTACCGTGCTATATTTTAAACTATCTTGTTTTTTTACAAAAATAATTTTTTAATATCTATAATACTGTAATTTTAATAAAAACAACACTAATAATATGCAAATATTTAAGTATTTTCTAATTATATCTATTACATATACATTATTATGATCTTTAACGATATTTAACATGTATCACATTATAACATTCAATATGTAACAGACTGATACATATAACTGATTTCATCAAGAACTATAACATTTTTAATTTTTAAAATAAGAATAAGAAGTATCAAGTGCCAATTTGCACAACGAAGTAACTTCACATTAACGTGTGTCATTAATTTTACAAAAACGGTATCAATTTAAATGAAGAAAAGGAAAATGAACATATTTTAGAAATGAAATTAGGAAAAAAAAGTTCAACAATATTTATCTGTAACAGCAACTTAACTACCTCAAGCATAAATTCATATGCAACAGAATCGCATCGCCTATTTATAAAAGCAAGAACCTGGAAAAGCCAGGGATCAGAGGCGTGCAAACAATAAGCCCCAGAGAGCCCCGGGCTGACAACATTCCTGTAAGCCAGGCAGCCTGTGCCAGGCAGGCCTGTGCCAGTGTGCCAGCCTGTGGCACACTCCATGTGCCGTCACAGGTACCAGTCAGCATGTACAATCCCAGTTTTTCAAAAATAACATGAGAAAAATTAGTCCTACTGAAACAGGTTTGTAACTTTCTCTACTTGAGTTTTCTGTGCACATTTCCAATAGTTCATCCCGTTAGTATAATTTTTCAACTAGAAGAGTGTTCAAACTCACCTCTTTCCAAGGACTGACAAACTGTGTCCGGGCGTATCGCGTCAGCATGTGGATGATTACGACCTGCCCCCACTCTTCCACATCCACCAGTAAATTGCAGAGCTTGCGGTAATTCTTGTGGATCAGATCTATTCTTTCTGGGCATACTTCTTCAAATGCCATCACCACGCTGCCGGCCACCAGCTAGAAAAGAAAGAAATAGCAACTCATTAAAAAAGTTCTCTGCCCTTCCAAGGTCCTACTCAGGAACTCAGCTCCCTAACCACCGTTACAACACCCCGGCCTAAAGGACTCAGTCTTCCAGGGACGCTGAGTGCCCACATCTGGAGGACACATTTCTAGTGCCGATCACTCAAAGAATAATTTTAATGACTTGATCTCTGAAGAGAGATCATTACTGATACTTTTCTATTTTCAATATGCTGTTGATATAAAAATTAAACACTGACATGTACCTTTTCCATTTTAAAGCTAACTAAATTTTAACCTCAAGATTCCTAACAGTGGGCAGAGAAAAAAACATTAACAAGGATCACACTGTGTCAGAATGAGAATGTCAACAATTCCATCACGGACATATGCTGACAAGTGTATCAGGAAAGCATAGGTGTTTTTAGTGCAAAAACATGTGGAAATCCTACTCATCTTAATCCACCTGATTTTAACAAAATAAAGTTATTTACCAAAAAAAAATTCCCTGTTTACATGTTAACACATCATAATCTCATGTACCAATGCATATTAATACATAATCAACAAAACGCAGCCTTCTCCAGGACCAATTAACAAAATAAACGGAGGTTTCTGAATTGTGACCTTTTCACAAAGCAGTGAGAGTAAGATTCCTTTATTGTAAGGACACAAGAGCAACAAATATATAATAAACAAATATTGCCTCTGTATGTGTCACTGATATATCTGTAGTTGGCCAACAACACAATTTCAGGGAAAAAAAATAATCTCATATTCTCTCTGAACACTAGGGATCTTCATTTTAGTGTCTAAAAATTCCCCAATGAGAAAATAAGCAATTAAATAGCAATATAACTTACTGAAATTATACATTTTGAAAAATATTAGATACAATGATATTTGTATTTTGAGTGTTTGTACCTCTACTTGGCTGACGCTCAGTTTATTAATATGCAACCAACAATACAACTGAAAGAAAACAGCTCAGAATATAGACTTGCTATTATGCTAAACAAGTCCCAAGTCCTGTGGGGACTTTATGAATTACCAATCAGTATAGACGTGAAGCTGCATTTATTGAAGCTAGCCCAGCCCATGGACTGGTGCCTGCTGGTCCCAGCATGCATGCACCTCAATCGAAAAAGCAAAGAATTGATTATTTGTGTGAACTAAATAAAAATGTATTATACATATAATTTCCCATTTGCCACTGATATAGAAAAGAAGTTTTGTGCTTCAACTCCACATTTTGATGTTTTCTGCATAAATAAATTTCTCCAGGAATTTCAGAAGTTACATTCTGTGGCAATCACATTTCTGTTAAGGTTAAAATTTATATCTTTAAAATGTCTTAAGCACATTTTTTGACATCAAACTACGACATCACTATTTCTGAAAAATAAGCATCTGTATATTTACATATATGTAAGATCTTAAAATATTTATAAACTGCTAAAGGATACTGAAGTAGAAAGATAAGGATATCACCTAAACTGCAATAATTAAAACACTACAATACAATAACTCAATAGCTGTAAGTTTTAAAAATATATCATTTAAGATTAAAGATTATAGAAATTCTTTCCAAATTAAATGAGAACTCAGTTGTCACATTATACTAAACTTCTTAAACTAAGTACGTAACAATTCTAAAGCACTAACAGCCTCCAAGGTTCTGGAGAGACCATGAACAGAAAAAGGGCGAACACCTAGAAATCAAGCCTAAGGGAGCTGCAACAACAAACCGCAACGAAGAACTGACTTGGCATAGCTTCAACCTGAGAAGAGCACCTACACAGGACTGACCACCTGTACCGTCTGAGCAGGCCCCGGACTGCACCTACACAGGACTGACCAGCTGTACAGTCTGAGCAGGCCCCGGACTGCACCTACACAGGACTGACCACCTGTACCGTCTGAGCAGGCCCCGGACTGCACCTACACAGGACTGACCACCTGTACCGTCTGAGCAGGCCCCGGACTGCACCTACACAGGACTGACCACCTGTACCGTCTGAGCAGGCCCCGGACTGCACCTACACAGGACTGACCACCTGTACCGTCTGAGCAGGCCCCGGACTGCACCTACACAGGACTGACCACCTGTATCGTCTGAGCAGGCCCCGGACTGAGCACTAGCAGAAGTCTTCAAAATTTTGTTCTACTGAATATCCAGTATTATATAAAACATTCAGAATTAAAGTAAAATGATTTACTCAGATTTTAAAACCAAAAAAAAAAAATATTGATTTCCAAAAAACAGGCAGTTAATTTCCATCTCACTGTGTCAACAGTAGCTTTTCATATACAGGGATAAATAAATCACTCCAACGAAACCAGCAATGAGCTCATCAAATTCAAATGCAGTTTTCCATTTATGTATTTTTTATATTAAAGCAATAAACATGGTTCATTTATCTTCTCTTGGTTGCCACGCTGTTCTGTGCTGTTGCTATGAACTTCAGCCATTAGCTGTGCTCCAAGGTAAACTACATGAACCATCAACAAAAGTGACACCCCATCTATGGAGTTCATATTTTCTCCAGATTATCTATGCTAGTTGACAAGCTGGTAATGAAAAAAATCACACTAAGCAAATGGTTCTTCTAATAACAATAAATTTTCTATAAAATTATGAAGGGTACAAAACGTTTCCTTGCATCTATTTTGTCATGAATTCTAATTAACGTTGCAAAAACCTGAGAGTGCTGGGTCATCACGAGAAGCGCATCAGACTTGATTGATAACACGGTCTAAGTCAGCCCACGCTGCCGAGATTTCCTTCCCTAAATTAATGGCCATCCAACCTGCCCTAATCATACAGCCCAAATGATATTCCCCTTCTTATTTCAATTTTCTTGAGGCATGGAAAATGGGAAAGATGAGTCATTTATCTTCTAATAGCTGGATAATAGATCTATCACAATAAAACATCTGCACAAACTCAGAGTATGGGTTTTTTTCTGCCCGTAACAGTCAGGCTTTTTACCAACATTAAACCAATAACTTACAAAATGGTATCTTATCTTACAGTTTAGCTATAAACTGTCAGTCTGTTCATTAAATGTAATGTTATGTCTAAAATTGAGAGGAAACTTTACGTCATCAAAAATATAAACAAACAACTCAGCTTTTTAGAAGATGGTGATCATTTGTTTTCCCAAGAAGCTGATTAACATTAGATAACTAAATGCTACTGAAAAGTCTTCCTTAAAATTTTGCCAAAAAGGAAAAAGGTAAAGGAAAGGAAGCATCCTGTTTTTGAGGCATTTTAAACAAAAGAATGCTCACTTTTATACCTTAGTCGCTTAACAAAGAAAGATGTCCATGTTTTAAAGACAAACAGGATTATGTATTATAAATTTTATAAGCAAATTAATAAGTGAATATTAGGAAAGTCAGGCATTACAGCACAAAGTGTTTAGATTAAATAATGAAGGCAGACGAACATTTCATAAAAGTTTCGAAGTATGCATTAAAATTTATATAGTAATATAGTTGGCTAGGATTTACAGAATCCAGACAAAATGTCACCCCTTTAATTTCATTAGGTTTCTTTAGTATCTTCAAAAACACACAGGTATATTTGGACAACAGCTACTCAAACAACACTAAGCTGTTATAACTATATTCTGAAACCCAGCGATGACGCAGTTTGGAGAGACAGTCCTGTCATGTGACAAATGGAAATTTTTCTCCAGCTAAAGAGAAACTGCTGTATCGTATTTTCGTATGATTACAATAATTTCACATTTACTTGAAAATTATTGTACTAATTTACTTTTGAGCTTCCAACTAAAAGAAAATCTTCTCTTTGTCTTAATATCAACATAAGTTTAAGGAGGGATTTACATAGGTTATGTATCAGAAGCATGTTATCAACTTGACACTGATCCCAAGAGTATACAGCTGACAGCAAATAAATTCCACTTCAAAATGTGAAAATAAATGAAATAAGTGACATAAAAATTTTAAGAAGGAAAATGTCAAATTATTTGATCCTTTATTGATTGTAAATGTCAATATTAACATTTTTAATTTGGTAGGGGGAAAGATGTTCCTGTATGCCTCTAATAAAGTTAACACAGGTGACCAAAGGTGGGGAAAAATTAAGTAATGACTTATTAAACACTGTCCGCAAAATCTGAGGGAGTCTTCCAGAAGTTCCTGAAAACACATACTACGAAAAAACTAAAAACGGATTTAAAACTGTTTGGCACAAATAAATTTCTAGTTCTATTTTCCATAAACTTTTTGAGCAGCATCATAATCTTGCAGAGAAAAATCTAATGGAAAAAACTTTGAAAATGTATTCAAACAATCATTCCAAATAAATCCAAATCTACCCAAACCGTCTCCCCACCACCAAAAAAAAAAATCTATGACCAAAGCAAAAATAAAAACTAGAGGTTTAAAATTTTAAATTACACTTAAGTACAAAAACAAAGCCTAAGTTGCCAATTATTTTCCTACTTCTATCACAGCAAACACTGGGCAATGTCACAGCACCACAAATATCACAACACCACAGACACCTGGACAATGTCACCACACCACAGACACCTGGACAATGTCACCACATGACAAACCTGGACAATGTCACCACACCACAGACACCTGCACAATGTCACCACAGACACCTGGATGTCACCACACCACAGACACCTGCACAATGTCACCACACCACAGACACTTGAACAATGTCACCACATGACAAACCTTGACAATGTCACCACACCACAAACACCTGGACAATGTCACCACATGACAAACCTGGACAATGTCACTGCAAACACCTGGACAATGTCACCACAAACAGCTGGACAATGTCACAGCACCGCAAACACCTGGATGTCACCACACTACAAACATCTGGACAATGTCACCACATCACAAACCTGGACAATGTCACTGCAAACACCTGGACAATGTCACACACCACAAACCCCTAGACAATGTCACCGCAAACACCTGGATGTCACCGCACCATAAACACCTGGGCAGTGGGGTGTGTGGTGTGTGTGCCAGGGAGGGCAAGAGGGAGGAGGGCACAGTGAGCAGCACAGAGAGGCAGGAATCAGAGGAGGGCCTGCGGGTGAAGCACCTTCCGCAGCAGCAAGGGAAACTGTCATCTGAGGATGAAAACACACTTCCTCACAGACTACATGCAAGACAGAAGACTTGATGATGCCGTTCAGAAAGGGAAAGTTTCAAGGAAAAATGGGATCCAAAAAAGACTGGGGAGAGAGACCCTTCGGAAATTGAGAGGTAGAGTCCAGTGTTGTGGGACAAAGTGTTAAGCCTCACCCATGCGCCATCCAAGATCCCACATGAGCGTTAGTTCAAGTCCTGGCTTCCCACTTCCGATTCCTCTCTCTGCTATCGAGCAAGCAAAGCAGCACAGCATGCTGCTCAGCTCCATCCATGTGCCGGCCTGTGCTCACCCCTGCTCTCACCCCAGCCCTGTGAGGGCCTGCACCCACCCCTGCTCTCAGCTCCAGCCCTGAGCGCTGCAGGATTTTGGGGAGTGATTCAGCTGGTGGCCACTTTGTTTTTTCTCTCCCAAACATTCTTTTTACCTTTCACATGGTGACCACACACACACACACACACACACACACACACACAAAGTCTTGAACCAAAGATAATTATGGCAAATGATACTATGTAAACAAAAGCAATTTATTTTAATGACATAAAAGATTACTTACTGTGCTTTTATCTCTCAAAAGCTTTTCAATTACTTCAATTAACATTTCCTTCTGCTCTGGATCAAGACTGAAACAGCAAAAGAAAACCTGTATTAATTTCTTTCTTCTTAATAGTAGTTTAAATGATGCTTAAAAAATTTTAAGAGGGGAGAGAAGAAAAAATTTTTTAATACAAAAACAGGAAAACAAATTTAGAGTAGAATAGGAAGGTGTCTTGCTTTTAAATTTCATCATATTAACTTACTTAAGAATATTTTTTAAATCCTTAAAAAAAATTCATTCTTTTAAAAAAAAGATGTAGGGCCCAAGTCCTCACCTTGCACATGCTAGGAAATTGTATGGGAATCAATTCATGTCCCAGGAGTCCCGCTTCTCACCTAGCTCCCTGCTTGTGGCCTGGGAATGCAGTCGAGGACGGCTCAAAACCTTGAGACCCTGCACCCACATGGGAGATACAAAGGAAGTGCCTGGCTCCTGGCTTTGGATTATCTCAGTTCCAGCCATTGTGGCCACTTTGGGAGTGAATCAGCGGATGGAAAAGCTTCCTATTTGTCTCTCCTCCACTCTGCATATCTGACTTTCCACTAAAAATAAATAAATCTTTTTTAAAAACCTAGAGAATGGCACCATGACATAGGAGCCAAAGCCACGATCTATAGGGTACCCGTCCCATGTCTGCATTGGTTGCATCTTAGCTGCTCCACTTCCCACCCAGCTCCCTACTGATGATCTGGGAAAGCAGGAGAGGATGGTTCAAATCCTGGGACCCTGCTCCCACATGGGACACCCAGAAGAAGCTCCTGGCTTCGGCTCAGCTCAGCTCTGGCCACTGCTGCCATTTAAGCACAGAATGCAAGATCTCTGTCCACATTTCTCTCGGCAAATCCGCCTTTCAGATAAAAATATCTTTAAAAAAAACCAGCAAGTTTTTTTAAATTTATTTTATTTGAAAGGCAGAGTTACAGGAAAAGAGAATGATACAGGAAAAGAGAGGAGAGGAAGCTTTGATTCACTGGGCTTTGATTACTGCTGGGTGGTAACCTGATCAACTGGCATTCCAAACACAGCCTGTGAGCAGCACCAGCACTGCAGGCAGCAGCTTACTGGCTGCACTGTAACAGTGGCCCCAAAGCTCACTTCTAAAACAAACTGGAAAACCCAGGAAAGTACTTTGAATTAGGTAAAGCACACACTTCTGTTTCAAGTGGATTAAGAATATAACAAAGGCAGCAATCACTTCTGCTCCGGAAACACAGCTGCTTCAAACAAATATGGGGAGTTTCCAAGTGACTGCAGCACCAAAGCAGCAGGTGGAGAGACGTGGTAGAGAAGAACGACAAGTGGACTGGCATGTACTCCGGGCACAGAGAAGCAGCTGGGCATGCTGACCAAGGATGCCCACTCCACTCGGGTCAGCACAGACCCAGACATATCAGAGGGGCAACATCGCAACTCTGACAGCAAACCTGGAACAGGAGGGCTTACCGACCACAGATCTACACAGCTGCGTTATTAGCCACTTTAAGTATCCATATCCAATGGTCCCTTCAACGCCTGCAAATTCCAGCTTCAGACACCTTACAAGAAGTCTTTCCTAATTAATCCCACTTCCTTCATCCTTACTTTCTGGCAAAACTTTTGTCATGGTGGTCCCATCATTAGCACACCTTGGTACACACACACAAGGGCAATTCAAAAAATTCATAGGCGATGGGCCTGGCGCCATGGCCTAGTGGCTAAAGTCCTCGCCTTGAACGCCCCAGGATCCCATATGGGTGCCAATCCCGATATGGTTCTGACCCCAGCAGCCTTGCTTCCCGTCCAGCTCCCTGCCTGTGGCCCGGGAGAGCAGTCGAGGACGGCCCAAAGCTTTGGGACCCTGCACCCACGTGGGAGATCCAGAAGAGGCTCCTGGCTTCGGATCGGCATAGCATCGGCCGTTGCGCTCACTTGGGGAGTGAATCATCGGACGGAAGATCTTCCTCTCTGTCTCTACTCTTCGTATATCTGACTTTGTAATAAAAACAAATAAATCTTTAAAAAAAAAATCATAGGTGAAACTTTTTGAAATAGCATGTATATCCCACAAACCTTCTGAAAGTAAATTTACCATGTGCTAAGATCGTGGTTAGTTACAGTTTACATACAGTTATTTTTGTATGACTGATTTTAGTTATCAAATACAGAACAGGCCATTGCTAAGCATCACATCCTCGACCATTTTGGTTTTTTTAAGATTTTTCAAATTTTTATTGGGAAGGCAGATTTACAGAGAGGAGACAGAGATCTCCCATCTGCTGGTTCACTCTCCAAGTGGCCACAGCAGCAAGAGACAGCTGATCCGAAGCCAGGAGCCAGGAGCTTCTTTGGGGTCTTCCACACGGGTGCAGGGTCCCAAGGCTTTGTGCCATCCTTGACTGCTTTCCCAGGCCACAGGCAGGGAGCTGGATGGGAAATGTAGCAGCCAAACACAAAGTGGCACCTATATGCGATCCTGGAAGTTGCAAAGCAAGGATTTAGCCACCATGCTACCATGCCAGGCCCATATCATCTACAATTAACAAACACAGCACTGTGAACATAATATCAAACAAACATGGTATGGCACTACATTTTCAAACGTCACTTCAAAAATCATTTAATAAAATAGTTCTGGGAAAGATGAAATAAAGAAAAGAGCAGAACGGAACAAAAATCAAAGAAGGGGAAACTAAGACAATTAAGACTCTACCCAAGACAGAAATCTCAGCCTTCTAGTAACAAGAGGCGCTAGTGTGCCAGAGACAGTATGTGAACGGGAATTCAAACTCTGATCTATACATCAACACAAGCTCTAATTTACAAACTCACATTTAAAACCTGGATAAGGCTTCTATAACCACAACAAAACTCAAGGTTCCTAAGTGTCTGGTGGCGCAGGGCAGCTCATCCTACAAGCTAACACAGGAAGCCTCCTCGGCGGCTCACGTCCTCAGCGTGATGAGCACAGCACGCACCTGTACAGCTTCTGGATGGCATGGGCCGCGTTCTTCCTGACGTAGGGTGACAGGTCGGCAGAGGCTTCCTTGATGGCGAGCATCATGATGGGCACGATGATGGGCACTCTGATGCTGGACAGGACTCTGAGAGCACTGGCACGGATGAGCTGGTTCGGGTCCTAAAACAGGGAAAATGCTCATCAAGATGTTAGGTGTAAAATAGTCCACAGCTTCTTTATGAAGCTAACAGGTGCTTGTCGGGTCCAACACCAACAGACCTGCTGAGGTGAGCACCCAGTGTGCAGCAGAGGGTAAACAGAAATAAACGAATAGTCCTAACTGACATTGGTCAAGTATTATTAGATGCAGCTGATTTTTAGCATTTCCTAATAATAAAATCTTGAAGATCCTAAATGTATCTTTAAAAAATGTATTATATGCCCATTTGAAATACTTCCTACAATTAGTTACTATGATGAACAGTTCTCTGATGCATGCTAATGATTAAACACAAAGAAACATTACAGAAGCTGCAAAATACATGGCTAAATGATTATATAAATAATTATCCACGATATTGAGTGGACACTACGGGAGGCCTTTTACCTCTTTCAAGACACTACTATGCTACTCGGAGGATTATTGCTCCACTCCTTGGGACGACACACCCTCGGCTGCGTGGAAACCTTGGTAAGCTGCCTGCTCCCTCCACAACTCACCTTCAGCGCACGCTGGAAGGTGCTGATGGACAGGAGGGCCAGGTCCTGCTGCTCCTCGGCGTAGCGGACCAAGTACACGTACACCAGCTTCTTGATCTGATACAACAACAACAAACAGTCAGCGTCTCACAGCCAAGGCAAAGACGACAGCACGACAGGTTCTAAGCAAAACAAAAATGACAGTGTTGCAATCAAAAAGCTTGTGTATTTCAGCAGTTTAATTATTTAATCCACGACAGAAACATCCTCTCAAGTGTCCCATCTCTCAAAGGGAATTTTTTTAAGCCCTTAGCAAAATTCACACAGGAAAAGTAAAACATTAACTGAAGTTTCTCAGAAGCAGAGAGAACCTACACCAGGGCGGCCATGTGGGAGCTCATACTTCCTGCACTGGTAGGCCCGGAGCCCAGCTGTGAGTTCTGGTGGCAGGCACATCCTACTGTACATTACTCAACAGTTTCACTTCAGAATGACAGTGTACAGCGGGTGCTCGAAAAGGTTCATGGGAAAATAGAATGAAAAGAGTAGCTTATTTTGCCGCAAAAAAAAAAAAAAAAAAGGCCTTTAAAAACTCATGTATATTGGGCCCGGCATAATAGCATAATAGTTAAGGTCCTCGGCTTGAATGTACCAGGATCCCATATGGACACCAGTTCTAATCCCAGCAGCCCCACTTCCCATCCAGCTCCCTGCTTGTGGTCTGGGAAAGCAGTCGAGGATGGCCCAAAGACTTGGGACCCTGCACCCGTGTGGGAGACCTGAAGGAAGTTCCTGGCTCCTGGCTTCAGATCAGTGCAGCACAGGCCATTGCGGTCACTTGGGGAGTAAATCATCGGACGGAAGATCTTCCTATATGTCTCTCCTTCTCTCTGTATATCTAACTTTGTAATAAAGATAAATAAATCTCTTTAAAAAAAAAAAAAAGTCCAGAGAGAGCCAAAGCAGCAAAGTACAAAGCCAGGTACCCTCCTCTGGGACAAAAGCCTGGAGCTCAGGTACCTGAAGGACTGCAGAAAAGGCAAAAGGCTTCTACTCCAGAAATTCCAGGAATTCCCATGCAGCTAAAAATGAAGACAAACAACTTCCTCCGGTCACCCTGGAAAACAGGTCCCAAAGGACCATTTCCCTTCCACAGGATCTTCAATGGAAGTCACCCCAGGTCGCTAGCGAGCTGGCCGGCTGGTTAAACAAGCTGAACTGCACCAATCGCCAATTCCCACTATGTTCCCTTGGTGCGTCACGGACTAAGGCCTTAGAGACAGTTGTACGACATGCAGGGGAGTGAATGAGTGTGAATGAGTGTTGCAGAGTTTTTGCTTCAACAGAGCACGGATGAAAGAACATGCTGGGGCAACATAATGTCCTTGATGAGAATCACATACACCACCTAGGTTCTCACGTGGGACTGTCTCCAACAGGTAGCAAACCTCACGATCTCCATGTCGTACTTGATTCACTTCACGTTAATTATGCTTTTGTATGTCATTCTTACTGAGTTTAAGCTCTAAAGGATTGATTTCTTCTGCATCTTCCTTTGGATTTTGTACAACAGAAACCAGAGATCACAAATCAGAATGTTCATGCAATTCAAACCCAAGGAGATGGGACTGTAAAGGTTTGCATCTCTGGCCTGAAGGGCCTTAACACTGCTTCAGTTCTAAGAGAATCTACTTGGCAGCACCTGTCGACTCTGGCCTGACAGCTCGGTCAGAGCTGGGGCTCACACTCAGCTCTTTAACGTCCTGTGTGGTGAAGATGGGACTGAAACACGTTATGTACACTGACTGATGGCTTCACTTTTTGCCATTTTTTCAAATACAACAATTTAACACAACTTTAAAAGGAAACAAAGTGGGAAAGTAAAAGACAGAAGCTCACAAACTCAACTATGGACAAAGAGCTAGCAAGTGGCTGAACCACACAGAGGCCTGCTCCCGACTACTCGGCTGTGTGACGGCAATGCTTGAGCTGTTAACAAACTAACCATACAACAGAGGAGACTACCTTCCCTCCTACCCGACCCAGGACACCAGTACAAATTAAATCATTCAGTACAAATTAAGGACATCCAGTACAAATTAAATCATTCTAGAACAAAATTCCCTAAAACATGGGCAAAAAAGAAAAAAAACATTATACTTGTTAAATGTCTGTATATAACACAACAATATTCTGAAACCACTTAGCCAGCCCCTTGTAAACCTTGCATTCAAGCCAACGTTCAAGGGCCAAGCAACAGCTCCATCATTCTTAGAACTAATGCATAGGGCCCGGTGCCATGGCCTAGCGGCTGAAGTCCTTGAACACCCCAGGGTCCCATATGAGCACCGGTTCTAATCCCAGCAGCCCCACTTCCCAGCCAGCTCCCTGCCTGTGCCCTGGGAAAGCAGTCGAGGATGACCCAAAGCCTTGGGACCCTGCACCCACGTGGGAGACCCCTAAGAGCTTCTGACTTCTGGCTTCAGATAGCACAGCTCCAACTGTTGCAGGCACTTAAGGAGTGAATCATTAGACAGAAGATCTTCATCTCTCTCTCCTCCTCTCTACATATCTGACTTTGCAATAAAAAATAAATAAATCTTAAAAAAAAAAAAAGGAAAGAAAACTAATGTATAAACCTAACTGGATTGCTGTATAATTTGAGAAGTACATCACCAAGGTACTGGTATTAACAATCCAACATTAAATCTGGTTCTGAAGGAAAGAGCAGTAAGCCCGGGCGACGGTCCCCCAGCCAGTCACCCGCAACGAAGCCCCTCTCACACAGCCCCTAGCTCCTCGCCCATCTTTCCATCTTTCGCCCATCTTTCCATCTTTCGCTCAGCTCAGTGCTTCCCAAACCTTACAACTTGCTGAATGAAACACTGTTCTGTTAAAAGGCTCACCAAGTACTCTCACACAGGAGCACCGCAAGGGTTACAAATCTGATGGCACCAGTTCCCAGTGAAAGCCAAACCATCAACACTGTATTAAATGTATTACATTTAAATGAAAACAAAAATTCTGTAACATTTTCAGGCCACAGTTTTAGAGGCATCTATCCAACTGTTCTGAGAATGGATGACAGTCTCCAGAACTATATTTGACAGTTTCAAAGATTACAAAACAAATGATTAGGAAGTCAACTGGGTGGCTGGCTGATAGTTTCGACAGATCAAATCCACAGTGGAACAAATGTGAGCTTATTTAGCACAGGAAACATTCCTTGTTCCTCTCTGAGCTGCCAGGAACTGTCGTGCTGCCTGGCAGGTAGCTAAGAGCACAATAATTAATAGCTGAAGTATATCTCAGCCCAAAGATGGACCAGAAAAAGTTAAAACATTTCCCATTAGGCTGCTACATAAAGGAACTGCCTTCTCACCAGAGGTTCTCACTGAATCTCAAAGGACAGCTCGACCCTGAGAGGAAACCACAGGTAAAGGTCTTCAGCTTGTTCACGGTTGCTCTTTTAATTCGTCGTTTAAAATGTGCTTTCTCTTTATTAATTATATTCAGATCTCATTCTGAATTATCTGGAGAGTTCTGAAAGAATAACGAGTTACAGTCTGCTTTGTTTTTCACAACACCGTACTTTTTCAAGTACTGAACTGTAAACTCCAGAACACACCTAGGAGTTTATATCGGCGACGCTCAAACATTCAGAACCGCAGCTGAGCCAGCAGGGAGAGCTATAATTACTCACCATCACTGCTACGATAAAAAGCATAACAATATTAAATCACAGAAGGTTGCAAAACACTAAATTTGTTCTAGTTCTGTTCTAAGAATCAATCAATGCTGACCACAAGAGGCCTCGGCACTGACCGGCTGCAGGTGTGCGAGAAAGCCCCCTTCGCCTGAAACCATTCTGTGACCAGAAATGGGAGTAGCTGAAGCTCCGTGACTGCACCGTTCTCAGATCAGTTACTCTCCATTCAGTGTTACAACACTCTTCGCCGTAAAGCTAATCAGAGCAGAGCCCCAGCAGGCCGAAGAACACAGGCAGATCTGTTAATTAGTTTATCAATACTAGCACATCAAACCTGACGAGTTATTGACTCAGGCCTTGATTCCTGTCCCGTAACCACTGTCTGCTTACTAGGTCACTTTGGTTCATCGGACACCGACGGCAGGTGACGCACAGCCCACCTGAGCGTCTAAGCAGCACATTCTTACAATGAAGGTTTGTACTTGATAACAATGAAAAAATCAATCAATTCCCCAAATAGAATGTTTAAGATGCTTATGTCATTTTTGTTCCATTAAGACTGTTTTAAAAATGACAAGGTATATGAAAGAACAAAACAAGTTCCAGATAAACAAATCAATAATTATGTTCATAGTTTTTCTTAATAGATCATTATGCAAAATCTGTTTCTAAAGGTAAAAAAAATATAAAAGTTCTAGTGTTAATACTGGAACAGTATAAGCTCTGAATTAACAAAACTTAGCAAGAAAATATTCTGCTTACAGTAAGAAAACTAGAAATCCATAGGAAATGGGCAATTTTACTACCAACTTCAACAGACTTGGCCACTACCACTCACGTATCCAACCTCTGTGGCAGCACCAGATCCCGTCAAAGGACAGCTAAGAGCGGTCGCTGCCGAGCTCCAAGCACGAGGGCGAGGGCAGGGGAGTCGGCCACCAGGACTGAGGGCGCGTGCGCAATGCCCGGGAGGGGTTCTGGAGCCAGCCTGGTCAGCTACAAGCTACAAACTCGCAGCGTGGTCTTGATCGAGTAAGTGAACCTCTATGTCCTTATATGTAAAATATAGGTAACTAAGAACCAGCTTCCGAAAGGTGGTTTAAGAGGGTAAAACCAGCTGACCCACCTCAGGCACCAACAAGCTAGCAGAAAACATGTTTTTTAACGTTAGCATCTATTATTGCTAGCAAGAGGTAAACCTCCACTATTACTGTTTTCAGATGTCTAAGGCTTACAACAGAGATCATAAAATTGGTATACAACAAATTGGAAACACAGACAACAGCTCTAAGACATCGCACAGAGCTTACGCTTTCAATAACCAGTCCAGAATGATCCACGGTAACAACCACAATGTAATAAATACCCAAATTAATCATGAATAAACTATAAATACCACAAAGATTGC